GAAAAAAAATGTATGCTCACCAGATTTTCCCTCAGAAATGTATCCACTGTTGTACCAGCATGCATGATTGCATTAGAATATATAGTTGCACTGTGACAAACACTGTTCCTCATCTCAACAGATTGCTTTATTGCTTTCAGAATGAGTAGATCAGACCTGCATGTACAAACAACACCTTGGTTAAGACCCAACACATCAACAGAACACATGGATTTGCCGGCATCCACAAAAGCAAGTATTGTGCAGGGATGTTTCAAAGCAGTAAAAAGTCATGTTTTCTTACTTGTTGTGACTGTACAAGAATTGCAGCGTCAACTGTATTGATGTCTCTCCAGAGAGAATACCCTTGATTTTTGTCAGCCTCTCAGAATATGTTTCCTCACTTTGATCAATTTGAGGTGTACTAGTTGTAGAAGCTGAAGCTCCTTCATCCATGGGAACATCCTCTGAAGCAGTAGAATCTTCAGTTTGACCAGAAACCGGCTCAGTTGATCTTGGATTTGCAGACTCTAAAGGTTGAGACTTTGGAGTGGGAAGACGATCTCTGACATTCAAGAGAAAAGCCTGGTGCTCATTCTCCACGAGATCAAAAGCAATTTGAAAAGCCAATAAAGCATCATCTTTATTTTCTGAGCGCAGGAGCTTTTCCAGGATGCTAGCTACACCTTCAGGTTCATCCAAGAACATCAAACACTGACAAATGCTCAAATAATCTGGTGAAGGCAGTTTCTGGTATACATTAACTAGAAGACGAAGCACCTGCAGCAAATGTACACATGTTTGGTTAGAAGTATATATATAGAAAGATGTGAAAAATATCCACAGCAAGTCCATGCAGAAGAAATGGCAAGTGGAACCCAAAAAAAAACACTATGCACAGCTGCAGAGTAGTGGGCAAGTTAACACTCAACAATTAAAACTAGAAACTCAGAAATTCCATAAGAAAATTGCTGGGAATGAAGGTATGACAAGAAAAGGAAGCAACTGTTTGTATATCAAACTCCAGGAGTTCAACAAAATAGCTGAACACATAATGTTGATGCAAGTACATGCTCAGGCAAATAAATCCAACACAACCACTACTAATTGCAGATAATAGACTAGCTAGAACAATAACTTTCTTACCTCACAGCGATACTCTCTGCGGTTAATGAAAGAATGGGAAACACCAATGCAATATGATAGAGTCCCATGGACATTGTCACTCCTACTGATTGCTTCTTCAAGCTTATCCAATCTTCGGCATTCAATAGCAATTCCCATGGCTTGTTGATATTTTCCATCGGTAATGCACCTAAAGCAATGTATGGTAAGACCACCAGAAGCGATAGGAAGATACAGCAATTATGTCAAAAGAAACTATAGTTTACTTACTTATCAAGCATTCTCTCAACAATTGCCTCCAACCTAGGATCTATGCTTTCTACATCAGCGCTACATTCACTTGCCTTAGTCTTTAGACTGGCATATTCATCAATTGCCTTGGCTGAAAATAGAGACAAAATCACCATGATTGTCAAACATCCATAGATCAGTGAGTACTAAATAGAGCAAAGTTAAAGAAGCTTGACCATCTTTCGCCCAGAATGAGATGCCTGTTGACTTACCAAGAAGTGTGTGAACATAATCAGAATCCTCAGAAACATCAAACAAGGAACCAGCTCCAAGAGCATAGGACAGTGAATCATTGAATTCTTCCAGGTAGTAGAAAACCTGAAGGATAGAAACAGAAGCATTTAGGTGAAAAGGGCCATGGGTAGTTGTTTTTAACAGTAAACCAAATGTCTTCAGTTTTCTCAAGTTTTAGAGAGAGAGCATTCTTCAACAGGATTAGTATAAAAACGCCATTTTGTAAACAAATTTTACATTAAACAAGACAAAGCACCCCTTCAAAACCTAATGACACTAGTCCTGCAGTCTGCCACTACTAATACTATCATAGGACCCAGACCAAATAAAATAACCCAAGATGCTAAAGCTGACTAATTAGAATAAGGGGTTCACTTGACAATTTAATGGAGGATAATAACCATTGAATTGCAATTATTCGGGACTATGATATTTGAAAAGCTACATGGTTCACGTTAACTTCCCAACGACAGAGGACGACATCCAAACCATAGACTGACATAAGTAACCACGCCTACATGACATGAAGGTAAGAAGTAATTCTCATACACAAGAGACACAGAATGTCCAATAACCAAACTTACAACTACTTAAGGGCTTTGACACAAGAAGTGCAACGAAGGGTGGTAAACCAAAGGGTAATGAGATAATGACCTTCGAAACAAGAAGCGCAGCAAGCTGTCTCTGATGCTGGTCAAACTCTTCATCCTCGTAGAGACTCTCGCTGAAAAGAAAAAGAGAAGGCATCATTCAGCATTCAGATAATCAGATGCATCAAACAACCAAGGCTCGAGTTTTACAACGCATTCCGCATCAAGAGTTGGGCCAGACAAAACATAGTCTCAGCTTAAGCCAAATTCTAAACATAAGTAGCAGCAGCATCCCTACAAGCCCGGGATAGCATGCCGACTAGAATAGAGTGGCAAGTGGATGAACATCAGCTTATTCGGGATCGCCGCCCAATCACACTACCAGGCACTAGCATTCCTGAATTGTTACTCTGGCTCCACGCCCAGTATCGAACACACATTAGCCAGCACAAATCATAGCTCCACGTCCTCAATCAGAACACAGCAACCTAGCTGCGTCAAACTTCCTAGGGTCCTTCGCTCAACAGATTCAACAGTTCTCCAGAACGTAATAGATCGAATCCAGCACCCAAAACTAAACTAAAAAACCCTAACCCTAGCTCGCATAAAAATCCGAGAAGGGGAATAGCTAGGGAATTACATTATCGTGACGCTGGTAGAGATCTCGGGCCAGAACTGGTCGACGTAGTTGTTGAGATTAAGAAGAGCATGCTGCTTGAGCAAAGGATGACTCTCGTTGAGCATCGCGAGTAATCCGCCGGCAGAGCTGACCATCGTAGCCGCCATTGCTGGTAATCGAGCTCAGAAATTCCCAATCCGCCTGCACCTCCGGAGGACGAAGTAGATTTGTTAGGGTTACGGTGGGAGTGGAAGCGGAAAAAAGGTCCGACGAGGCCGAATAATTGTTATCTTCCACGCCGGTTTTCCTGAGTGCGAATATAATAGGAATCAACTTATGGAACAAGTCAGGAAAATTGGGGGACTTAAATGAATGAAAAGAATAAACTTCACTCTTCCGCCGAGGAAACGGAAACCGAGCTCGTTAATGGATTTTTACGTTTTTCTCATGCTGTAAATGGCCCTAAACTTTCATATTCTTACAAATATACCTTTTTCGGGTTGGATTAGGATGTCGTCCCGTCCGCACATGTAACGTGTTACTTTTCACTAGTTTTAGTGAAACAATAAATAATCTACTTTGGGAGCTGATTAAACTTTAAAGTCATAGACTCATAAGGTTGGAGATTGAATTGGATTGTGTTTCACTTTGTGTCGTGCTGAGGTGTGTTTCTAGGCGGTTTAGATTGAATTGGATTATGTTTGGCAAGAAGTGCACTGAAAAGCAAAATTATGGAGTTCTAGACGAGTGTGGTATTCATTTAAAACAATTTTGAATTTTGGGATTGAAATGTTGAGATCAGTGCAACCTAAAGCGATCGTGTCGTGTCGAACTCCAATGTTCGCTCACTTGGAGATGCAGGAGATCAAAACAACAAGAAGCACGTTTCGAAATGAGCACGGTTTGGAGTACGATCGTGTTAACTGTCAACGTCTCACCTGAAGAGGAACACGTTTGTGTTTGGGATCATGTGTAGAGTCGTGAAGTTGCCTATAAAGAAGTTTGCCCCCATGTTTTGGAAACTTTTTCTACCTTCTCCTACGAGCTAAAGATACAAGTTTGAAGCAAGTAAATGGAGATTTTCCAACAAATCAAATGTAGAAGTTGATTTTGGAAAAATCAATATGTATTCCACTATCAAAATTTCTTCTTCTTTTCCGTTTGTTTTCTTATTCCTTACAAATTACTCTTTTCGTTGTTTGGATGAAGTGAATCTCAGCTGTACTTTTATATGTCCTTGAATAATCTAAATGTTTGTTTGCCTAAGATATGTCCTTCAATTATCTCGAGTACCAATAGGTGCATGCAAATTGACTACTTGTTATGTAATTATGGGTTGTTTGGAAGTTGTGATTGTTAAGGGATCGTTTGGAAGTTGTGATTTCAAATGGTGTATTGATCTAATTCATGTATTTGTGAGATTAAGTCGTTTTTTTTTTTTGTTTATATAGAACTAGAATACATGCATTTATTTTTTGGAGGCCCCACCACAATCATTCAATATTGAGGGATTTACAATCTCTACTTTTTGTTGAGATTCTTCACAATCACTCAATATTAACTTTTTTACCTTTGGAACAAAAACACAATCTAAACCTCCAAACAAGATATTTACCTAATACATCAATTGATTCAATCCATCAAATGATAATACACTAATTGTCCCAATACATCAATTTAAAGAATCACAACTTCCAAACAACCCCAGTTGTGTTTGTTGAATACATGTATTGTGCACAATACAATGTTTGGAAGTGCCAAAGTGTAAAACAATAGATAGATCTCACCAACAATCACAAAAAATTATGCATTATACAATCTCAACTAAAAATTGTGATTGTTGTTTAGATTTGTGTCAACTTTTTCTTTTCATTTATATCCCTGATAGCTTTTGTCTTATATTAAAAGTTGAGGGTAAATATGACATTTCCAATAAAAATAACTCTATGTAAATCAATGCATAAAGTAGAATCTCAACAACAAACCAAAGTATTGTTAAAATGCATCAATTGTATCAATACATGCATTTATATTATGGTGATTCATTACAATGCAACGATTTAACATTCACAACCAAAATGAATTATCTTGAGTACTTACAAGTGCACGCATATTTTTATTTTGTGTGAATGACGAGAAAATCAAAATGAACCAAATACAACCCATCGGACCGAGCCAAGATTGTCATTCCTATCGACACGATTTTACAATCCTTGCTTAAAATATTTGGGAGAAGATGACCAATATGTCTTTCATCAAAACGAGGATGTATGGCTGGAAAGGGCCACCATATTTCTGTAGAAAATTACACTTTATATACTCCACTTTACCTCTAATTTTATTCCTATCGAAACAACTCTAGCTCAAGGGTCACCATATTTCTGTCCTGAAATAGAAAAGTACATTAAGCTAACCTAGTAAGCTAATACTAGCAGAAGGAAGATCAACCGCACTGATAAGACCAACTAAACTTACAAACATCACAAATGGAAGGCAACAGCAGACAAGTCTAGCATTGAAACTCTGCTGACAGTTTTCATCGGTATCAGAATCTCTGCTTCATTCATTACATCCTACAGCGTTCGGAAAGTAAATCAACCCGAAATGAAACGAGCAGACATTGTTGTCAGCTAACGAAACATCAAAATCTTGAACATAATAGATTCATCACATCTAACTCTCTGTCTGCTCCCTCAATCTGCGGATGGTACTCCTCACAGTCACAGCACTGGCAGTACTGTCACAGAAACACAGTCGGGCATCAGCGCCACATCGAAAATGAAAAATTTATTTGCAAAAAGACCGTTCAAGGAGCGACAAAGTGGCAAAGAGAGGCGAGTATATCTTACTTCATGGTGTAAGCACCCCCTGCTTTGACCTTGCCACAGTCCTTGCACCCCCAGATTCCGACTGCCTTTCTCTTCACAGCATCCTGGCAAAAAAGGGAAGCTTCAATCAATCCAATGTTTGGGGATGATGAAGAAACGAAATCAAATACAACAGAGATAGCACTGAGATCAACACCTTGCCACAGAACTCACAGAAGTACTTTCTGTGCTGGCTAACTTCCATCTTCTTGATTTGTTTCCTCAGACTAGCACCATAACGGGTTCCTGCAACAGCATATTAGGTGCATCATGCATGAAAATCAACTTCCCACTCATTAATTCAAGACGTCCTGAAACAAAGATATCACGAAACCTCTCGACGAAGAACAACAGAAAAAGATCCCAATTGCAAGCAGCAAGCAGGCTAACCAACATCCAACCAATTGACTAGAACAAAAACTTGACAGTATATCCAACTTCCGAAAACTCTCTTATGTTCTTGCAGTGATGCGGCAAAAGCAACAACAATGAAAATGAAAGAGCGGGAACACGTACCATACTTGCCGACAATACCAACCTTCTTCGTTCTCTTGGCCTGTAAAAGAAGAGGTACGGAAGGATAGCAAAACGTCAAATTCTTTCGCACAGCACAAAACCCTAGTTCCAGCTGATGAAAACACAGAGCATAACTCTCACATGGCCTGACCTAACCATCTAAACCCAGTCTCGCATGACCTAAAATCCCCAAGGACTCTAGATTAGAAAGAAGGATTCAAGGCAACTAGGATGATGACGCGAGAGAACTTACCATGGCGGACGGAGTTGAGACAGCAGCAGAAACCCTAGGCGAGACTCAACAATGCGGAAAGAAAGATGCAACCGCGGATGAAGTTTTCCAAATCGTGTAGACCGCACATTTATGATCACTGTAATTTGAGGTTATTGCTAAAACAGCTACTGAACTTTACGTCTTAACAAACCAGCCACTCCCCTTTGTGTGGGCCGATTGAAGGCCGGATGTTGGAGCATTTTGGGCCGGATGTTGGAGCATTTTGGAGTTCGGTTTTTACGTGGCCCAAATGGGGCCCAAAACACACAGCCCAGTTTATGAAGTTTGATGCTTTGCTTTGATTTTGGTGATAGTTAAATTGACCGCTAATGGATGAATAAAATTTCGTAGCTTGTAGAATATGATGACTACAAATAGCATGGAAACGGGGTGTTGGAAGGTGATAGTGCATACGGACTCCACAACGACAATTAACCTCATTGAATCGGCTCCTATATACCACCCGCACATCTTGTTGGTGGTCCACCCTCTGCGCCCAGTTTTTCAAAAAAAAATAAAAAATGATGAGTGACTAAATGGCACATCTAGTACTATGTTTATAAGTATATTTTATATTTTTCACTTTCAAAATATTATTGTATTAGTGGTTAATAACTTTACATTTTCATTTCACCACTGATTCTATTAATTGTGTCCTATGTGGAATTCAATTATCATATTTGATCGTTAAATGAGTGTTTTTAAATTAAGATTGTGACATGATATTTACTCATTGCGGTCGCACTTTACAAGTAGTCAATAACATGTTGATCTTGCATGAAAGGCTGCATACTATGTAAAGAAAAAGTAGCAATAAGTTTATGATGTTGCTTAAAGGTGGAAGGCAAGTATGACATAGAGAGAGATAATTGATGAAGGATAAATTTGTGATTTTCGATCTAATTTTCGGCAATTGAGTTTGATTTCAGTATTCAATTTCTCCTGCTGGAGAAAGAGGTAGAAGGAAGAAGACGAGGACAAATTTATCGTTCAACAATTTGAGTTTAAATTCAACATACCTAATCAAATAAGTAAATTTTACCAACAATTCAGTTAATATTTTGAATTTTTAAAAGAAGAATTTGAACCCAAATTAAATTCCTCATAAATTTTCTCGGCCCGAAATTAGTATCGAAACAACTACTAGTGAGTAGGGCTGTTAATGATCCGAGCCGAGCCGAGCTTTGTTATAGTTCGGGCTCGGCTCGTTAATATATTTCCAAGCTCGAGTTCGGCTCGTGTTCGTCACGAGCTTTAATATGCAAGCTCGATCTCGGCTCGTTTATGAAAAATGAAAGCTCGAGCTCGGCTCGTCAAATAAGCTTAAGGAGCCCAAATTCGAGTTTAGTTCATAAAATGTTCATGTTAGCTCAAGATTGACCTGGAACTAAGCACAAAATTACATTCAAACCTGTAGCAGAGTCTACCAAAATAAAACACAACATTTATCCCAATTTCAATGCATAAAATCCATGAATTATAATCCTTTCTGATGCCAAACCGTTAAATGAGCTTGTTCACGAGCTTTCGAGATGAACATGGTATGACTCGAGTTCGGCTCGTTTAGTTAACGAGCTTGTTCGCGAACCGGCTCGATTAAGACGAATCGAGTGTCGAACGTGTTTTTCTCGATTTGAACGGCTTGGTTCATTAACCGCCCTACCAGTGAGTAGTGCACCAAATTGAGTCTGGACTGGTATTGTCAATTGACCTATTGACTATTGTGTATGGTTTTATAAGGACGGCTGAGAGGGAAAGGGAACTCAACAAAAAGTATGATGGTGAAAATGAGAAGAAAAGGGAAAATAAGGCAGGAAGTGGAGAGAGAGAAGAAAGGGTAAAGACTAATATTGACAAAGACGCAGCTCACAAGTACACTGTACAACACAAATAGCAGGGAATTTTTTTTTGCAATTTAAGAAGAAAAGAAATTAGAAAGCTCCATCGCTGTCCCATTGCCGAAAGCCGCGGGAGAGAGAAGAGAAGGAGAGAGAAAGAGAGCCATTAGCCGAAAACCCACTCTTCTTCTTCTTCTTCTTCTTCCCCTCCTTCCTTCCTACCCAGTCATCTTCTTCTTCTTTTGCTCAACTCATTTTCCTCTCTTTCTTCGGAGCCTGTCCTTCTCCTCAAACCCCTCCCGCGGGGCTCCACCGCCCCGACCCGATCTCTTTCCCCGGCCACCGCATTCCCCTCTTTCCGCCGCCGCCGCCGCCAGCCGAGCAAATGTACTCCGCCATACACTCTCTGCCGCTGGACGGGAGCAGCATAGTCGGAGCTGGAGCGGGGCACGTGGATTACCAGGGTTCGTTGGACGGGACCAATCTACCTGGGGATGCGTGCTTGGTGCTCACCACGGATCCGAAGCCTCGCCTCCGGTGGACCGCCGAGCTCCACGATAGATTCATCGACGCCGTTACCCAGTTGGGAGGACCTGACAGTAAGTTCAATTCAACGAATTTGCTCTCCATTCCTTCAAATTTTGGGTTCCCCCCTTTTTCTCCCGCTCCCACCAAACTTAGCCTTTATTGCGGAGTGAAGGAACTTTTGGTCCATTCGTTTTCCTCTAACTCTTTTCTTTGCAGTTCCATTTTGTGGGTTTGATTGATTGCTTCAATTTCATCTACTAGTAGCTAACTTTGGCAGTAAATTGGGGATTTCTGCAGCAGGATGTTTCCCCTTTACTGGCTGAACTTCCTTCCCCATTAGAAATGTAGTTTTTTTGGTTGGTGGAGTTTGTATTAGAGTTGAGAATTGATAATCAAGCCAATTCCTTACTTTTTTTCGCTTGGCTATTGATGTAAATATTTAATCTTTGAAGTGGGCGGATGCATTTTGGATGGTAGTTGCATGATGTATGAGAAGATGTTTGTTTCCAAGTATTTTTTATGTCTACAACTTATTGGCTTTCCATTGACCAGCTTTCGTCTCTAACTAGACAACTTCTCTGTTTCTTGTTCTTGGTTGGCTTAGTGATTGTTATTTCATAAAGTAATCATATTACCGTGCCGAACCATTACTATAGGTTACAGCTGAAAAGACAAACAAGAAGAACCAGGATCTTTTTGTCTTGCTTTACCTGGAATATTCTGAATTTTATTCTTGCTAAAATGTGCAGTTAAAACTCTTTGCTGTAGCCATTAGGAAATCTCACGGTGGATTATTGTTTTTCCCCCTGATAGCAATGGTGAATGGAGAGACCTTTCTTGGGTTTTTTGTAGGTTTGGCTACATTCTTCTGTTCTCCAAAGGGTTTTGACTGGTTATTGATTCATATGCAACGGGGAAATGCTAGCTGCTTATTGGCACTAGTCTAAAGTGTCAGTGACCTTACCACTACCAGGAACCCAGCAGAGGATATCCTTGGTAGGTGCTATGGACCACATTATTGTGGTTTAAACTGCATCTTGACTCATGGACCAGTTACGAGTTGATGAACTTGAATCCCTTCAATAGTACTTCACATAGAATATGCTCTCAAGATCGTAGAACTTTAGGAAGTGAAGCTGGTGAACAACAGTTTGCTTACATTTAGGAAGTGAGTCAATTGTCATGGCTGCATATAAGACCTGGCATGCTGCAAAGAGATGAATTAATGATTCTAGGGTGACTTCCTTGTCCTATGGAGTCGGAGACCTCAAGTTACATGAGGAGGTTGTATGACATGTATATGAATCCCAATGACTTGGGAGGAAAAGTTTTAGGCAGTTTGACTGCTGGTCTGCTAACTTGTTGATGGTGATTGTTTTTATACTGATACCCAACCATCCATGTCGTACATTGACACTTGATTCACTGTCATATTTTTGTTGCTGCATTAATATGCGTTGAGCTCAGCCTGTGGAGTTATTTGTCTTCGAACTGTTTTTGAGAATAATAAAGGTAATTTATGGATGAGTTGATGTAAGTAAGGTAATAACAGATAAAATAGGAAGTTGTGAGGTTGATAGTGATATGTACAGTAGGTGCTCTACATGCATCTCTCACCTAGATAGCTGGTTCGCTGCTGCCTTTACTTTCTCTCAATTTCAGGCATTTGTTCCTATATATCTGATAGTGCTGATACCTTTATTTCCCAACTTTTGAAAAGAATCGACGGCATTTGATATGGATTTCTTGCTTATTCCATTATTTTTGCGACTCTGCAGAAGCGACTCCTAAGACTATAATGAGGACAATGGGGGTTAAAGGCCTCACTCTTTATCACTTGAAATCCCATCTTCAGGTTTGTTTTTGTATAGATGCTTTTTCTTTATTAAGCTTGTCTAAATTTGCTTGCCTTGATGTGTTATCCTTCGGGTTGAAATTACATTTACAAGAGTTTCCTAACTTTATGCGTCACCTTTCCAGAAATACAGGTTGGGAAGGCAATCCTGCAAGGAATCGACTGAAAGTTCTAAGGATGGTAAGAATCTACCACTGTTTGAATCTTGTCTGATATCTGGTCATGCAATATCTGGCAAACGACTCTTGCTTGCCAGTTGGCACGTCTAAGACATTGGAGATTTCCGAACTCTTTCGTTCTAATGCATGTTAGATTTTGGTTGAAAAGAAGTGCATGTAAGATCATTGTATGTGCTCCATTTCATTATAACTACTGAATCAGCAAATCAACTTTGGGAGAATGCGAGACTGATGAAAATGTGGTGGTTCTTGGTATTTGTAGTTGGAATTGCAGCATCTGTTGCTGAAAGTCAGGACACTGGTTCATCAACATCAACATCATCTAGAATGGCTGCACAAGATCTGAATGAGTATGTCAATCATCTCTTCTGTCATTCTGCCTAAACTTCTTAGCACTTGTCCTCCTTGCATTTCTCATTAATTTCATTTATGAAACAGTGGTTACCAGGTCACCGAGGCTTTGCGTGTACAGATGGAAGTTCAGAGAAGGCTACATGAACAGCTAGAGGTCTGTCATTGTTCTTGAGATGGTTTATTTTTGAAACTTGGCTTCTGAAGCTATGGCAGAGAATAGAGCAGCTGAACACCTATAATGATTAGCGAATTTCTCATCTGGTTCTAAGTGGGATTCTTTATATCTTGTGTATTATAGCTGAGGATGATACTTACCCTTCTTTTTTATTTCAAAAACAGGTGCAGCGTCGACTCCAACTGAGGATTGAAGCCCAGGGTAAATATCTACAGTCAATACTAGAGAAAGCGTGCAAAGCTCTAAACGACCAGGCAGTTGCAACTGCCGGACTAGAAGCTGCAAGAGAGGAGCTTTCAGAGTTAGCAATCAAAGTATCCAATGAATGTCATGGAATGGCACCCCTCGACACCATCAAGATGCCGTCTTTATCTGAACTTGCTGCTGCTTTAGACAGCAAAAGTGCTTCTTCCAATGTGCCTGCTCGGATTGGTGACTGCTCCACAGAGAGCTGCTTGACTTCAATTGGGAGTCCAGTTTCGCCCATGGGAATGTCTCCACAGGCTGCTGCTGCTATGAAGAAAAGATCAAGGTCTGTCTTCGGCAATGGAGATTCTCTTCCATTGGATGGCACCACCATGCGTCATGAAGTTGAATGGATGATGAACAACATGGCCTGAATAGCTAGCCAGCTACTGCAGCGTTAGCATCCTATAGAAACTGAGCCTCGTTGTTTCTCCCGTCCTGCTCTTCTAGTTCTTTGTTATAGGCCTCAGATTAATTTGATCTCCTAAGTTAACTGTATCACCATCAAAATGTCTCCTGTATAGCTTGTGATCCTTTTTCGAATTGTAGGAAGTGACTTTTGCCTATTCGGTTGGGAAGTTGTTACCTTCTGGTTTCTTCGCTCACAAGATCTTTACTTTCAGTTCACAGCCTTTCTGCCCTGTGGAAATTTGTCAGCAGAATCCTTAGCCAACGACTAACCAAGCAAAGCATGGTCTCATGTAGACTCTACTAAGCTTTATCTGATCTCCTCATTGAACCCAACAGTCCATGACCTGGATTCATGGTTTGGCGTTAATGGAACCAGTTGAACAAAACAACGGATTCCAATTCAACAGAGCAAGTCCGTAAAGCCTGGAAATCTTTTGGCAGGCTTGGCGAAGGAAGTACTCATTAGATTAGATTCCCTCTTTACATCTGCAAGGCACTCGGGCATCTGCATCTTTCTATAAGATGTCAGTTCCCAGGAAAAGAATAAAGCTTTTCTTTATTACTTGCTTTCTGACGCCTTCCTTCCCCTATTGATGTATTCGAATAATGATGAACAGTGACTATACAATGGATGTTGTAGGCCCTTATGATGCTGATGAAGATGATGGGTTCTCCACTATTGCTTCTTCTTTGGACTTTTAGTCTTTTACACTCTTCCCTTTTCACCTCTTTTTGGTTTTTTCTTATGTTCAGAATTCCTTTTCATCTGCTGGAAACAAGCAAGCAGCCTGTCCTAGCTTCCCTACGTCTCTCTGCATCTCTTCTCATCCATGGCGATGAAAGAATCTCTGGGTAATAGTAATTTTCTTCCTCCTCCTTTCAAATCATGGACTTGACTGACAACAGGTCCTTAGGCAGATAGCTGTTTCTGTGTGGGTTTAGATGATGATTGATCAATGCTTGCAAGTTTCAATCTTTCCCTTCACTTCCTTTAATCAAATCAATCAGAGTTCCCTGGTAAAACTGATGGGACATCTGAAATCTTCTGTTAATTTACCAGTAAAATTACATCCCTGTTTGTCTCATTCATGATGCTCTTCACTTTATTCACTGTAGTTTTGCCTGGAACATCTCAATCTCATGAGTCTGCCCAGCGTTGCCCTTCTCTGAAGCAGCTGTTTGCCAAATTAGAAACCATACTGCTTCGCCATTTTGGCGCTGCAAGCAAATACAAGAGGCTTGATGCAAAGCTAGAAAAGAAGATGATGGAAGTCAAGAGATCATCATCTTCCTCTGCTGCTGCTTCTTCGTCTGGGTCTAAAAGAACATTCAAATCCATGAACACCATTATCATGAGGTTCCCTCAGTTCAAGCAACAGCTCAAAACCATCAGTGCCGTTTTCCAACAGTTTGGTAATGAATCAGAAAGTTAGGTTCTTTGATATGGGTTATCATCTTTTGGTTTGTAAAAAATGTAATTCTGTATCGATCTATCAGATGAAGATGGAAACGGCAGCATCGATCGCGAGGAGCTGAAGAAATGCCTAGAGAAGCTGCAGCTGATCAACCTCAAGGAGTCGGAGATGGACGATCTGTTCCATTCCTGTGATTTTGATGGAAGTGGAGGGATTCAGTTCAATGAGTTCATTGTCCTCCTCTGCCTCATCTATCTTTTGGCACACCCATCTCCCAACAACAACAATGATGGGCTAAAGCAGGCGTCAAATATGGGTTCGCCAGAGCTAGAGGCAACCTTTGACACCATTGTTGAAGCATTCTTGTTCCTGGACAAGAATGGAGATGGGAAGTTGAACAAGAAAGACTTGGTGAACGCGCTGAACGATACTTCCCCGTGGGAGAAATCTCCTTTGCGGATCACCAAGTCCAGATTCAGTGAGTTGAAACAAGTCAACCTGATCTATTTCCTTTCTTTACTTGGGTTGTTTGTTGATCTTGACCATGAGAATGTGGTGTTGGTGTTTGATGCAACAGAGGAAATGGATCGGGATAGGAATGGGAAGGTTGGCTTCAGGGAGTTCTTGTTTGCACTGATTCAGTGGGTTGGCATTGAGGCTGATGATGAAGAAGAATAGCAGAGATCCCACTGAATGGAACATTCTTCATAGCTTGAGCAGTGCGTTGATTTTGGTTGGATGAAGAATCAATAGATTCATAGTGTTTGTATTGAGATCTATAATAGAAAGATCATATTGTTTGCTCGCTATGGTGAGATTGATCATGCTCGGTTTGTTCTTTAATATGCAGAAATGGAGGTATAGTGTTATTTTCGTTTGGATTAGTGAGTAGTGGTCATTGATCTGACACGATTAACCATAATTTATGACAATCATTACCACACCAGACCCCGTACTAAAGAGGAAGACTTCAAGCGAAACAAAACCTTGATTTTGGCTCACAGTCCGAATCAAACTGTGTCATCTGATCTAAATCATGATTTCTCATACGGTTTGGTCTAGATTTCTAGTCCTGTACATGCCTTGACTAGGGGTGGACAATGGCATCGTTCCGGTCCGGTTCGAATCAAACTAAACTCAGAAAAACCGTGGTCCAATAGTGAAAAATATCTAGGACCAAGGACCTGACCAATAGTGCATTCGATCTGCTTTGATCCATTTTGGTCCGGTCCAAATGTCAATTCGGTCTATTTTTCTTCAGTACTTATAAAATTTATGTGATCAAGGACCGGACCAGATTACTTTCGATTCAGTGTGATCCAATCCAAACATCGGTTTGGTCCGGTATGGTCCGGTATGGACCAACCCATTGCCCACCACTAGCCTTGACTGAAGCATGTTTGTGAAGACGTGAACATAGTAAAATACGGTACGAGAAAGTTACGTATAAAATACGTACGAGAAAGTTACGTATAAAATACGTACGAGTATTTTACGTTGTCTTTAAGCTAATGTTACGTTTAATAGTACGTCAATAGTCATAAATATATTAAATTAATTATTTTTAAAAATAAATAAATATATAAAAAATAGTATACGGATATTAAACGTGTTATACTGGTTCTATACGTGTTTAGTACTGGAGACGTCAAATGAAAGGAAACAAATGAAACGACTTGACAATAATACGGATGCAGAAGTTTTAAACGCATAAAGTACTACGGGCATAGTTAGTAAAATACGGTACGAAAAAGTTACGTAAAAAATACGTACGGGTATCTTACATCGTTTCTAGGCTAACGTTACGTTCAATAGTACGTTAATAGTCATAAATATATAAAATAAATTATTTTAATAAATAAATAATAGTAAAATTTACAATTTAATTCGTTAAATACGGATATTAAACGTGTTATAGGGTTTTATTCGCGTTTAATACGGGAGCCATCAAATGAACGGAAAAAATGAAACGACTTGACAATAATACGGATACAAAAGTTTTAAACGGATAAAATATGTACTTGTTAATATATGTGTATTATATGGAGTATTTACTAACTATGCATACGGGTACATATACGTGTATTAAACGGAGTATTTACCGACTATGGACGGAACTTTCGTCTCGAAAGGGCTAACTCAGTAGCCCATCAATTGGCCCATATTCACTCTGGGTAGGATCACATATTGTTTGGGCTGATGGACCCCTTGTGCTCATATGTAACTCTCTAACTGATAATGCTTTTGGGCCTTGAGACTTGTTGATATAACCGATACGGAATTTGTCTGAAAAGCGCGGGAAAATGACAAGACTATAAATCATAAGCCGGCCCGGTCATCAATTTGAATGAAGGACAAAACAAATTAGAAAACTCAAGGTTGCGTTTGGAGAGCAAGCGGGAAATCAGTGGAAGTAAAGAGAGAAATCTGAAGAGGAGAATCGTCGGGCTCATAAATCTCAGCAAGAATCAAGAGACGAAGCCCTCCGGCGCCGGCGAGGTCCACAAGCTGCCCTGCTAATCAAGCACAGCGGCGACATCCGACGTTTCCGACTACTGTAAAGTTCAAACCTAAACCCACTCCCTCGTCCAACCTTTTCCTCCACTGCGCTTTTGTTTAGGTTTGATCTCAAATTTTCACCTTGGACTAACGCCATTTCGGTTTTGCGGAATTAGGGTTAGAAGTGGCAGAGCAACAAGCGCATTTCAGGGACAGATTGCTGCGAGGCGCCACGATTCCAATCCTTCCTGGACATTCTGGTAATCCAAACTGGCTACAACTTCTGCTACTGTTGCGATCCCAGCGGAGATAGGATTGCAGCAGTTCGGGCGCTTTTTTGTGGCGGTCTACCTTCTCCTAGCAGCTACCATGTTAAAAATTTCAGCTTGAATAAGTGAGATTCGGCTCTCTTCTTGGTAACAAGTAAATGGTTTCCTTGTTTTGGGTCGTGTTGTTTGCAGGATTTGTCTTAGGAAAGAAAGGGCGAGAGAAATGCTTCTGATTGCAACTCTAATTCTTTGGAGCCTAGTGCTAAATTTGATGGGATAACTTATTGGAATCAAGGAACTATACCTTCACAAGATGGTACGTTTATTCTCTCCCTCCATTTTTTTAATCTGTTGCAGAACCAGTAAGTTTTCTTGTTGGATCATCAGAATGTAGATTGACGTGCTTGCTTGGTTTCGAGTTATGCCTTTCTTGTGATTTGGCTAGTTAATTTGTTCATTACTTTGTGAAGTAGGCTCTTCATGAGGAATTTTACAATGCTATATAGTATTGGTGCTATAGGTTTTTGTCTTTATGGTACAACTTGAAATTGTACATTTAACGTTATGGTACAACTTTGGATTATGCCTATACTGTTTGTACAAATTCTTTTACGGTACAACTTGAACTTGTACCTTTATGTGATGGTACAACTTCAAGTTGTAAAGTTGTACCATAACATAATGGTACAAATTATTTTATGGTACAATCTAAACTTATACATTTCATGTTATGGTACAATTTTAAGTTGTACATTAAAGCACCAATACTATATAGCATAGTAGAAATGCTCGGCTCTTCATACCTACTTGTCAATGAACCTATTATGGTGCAGTACTATGGTTCTAGAGACCAAAAAAAGTTCCACTTGTTTAGGAACTTACCAGCAATTCAGCTACTTGTGTATTTATGCATCTTTAGCCTGTGTAACTGTTCGACAGAATAAAGTTCCATTCTTGTGTGTAGATGGATGACCAGAGAGTGTTCTTTGCCTTTAGGAGTTTCTTCTTCTTTTCTCCCTCACATCTTCTTCTCTTTTCCTAATTCTGATTCCATGTCCATAGAATTTTGCTTTTTTACTGTAGCTACACAAGCAGGTGACAGTAGAAGACTTGGCTTCAAATTCCCTTCCTATGAAGTAAAGGTCGTGAGGGGTTGCTGAACAAATCTGGGGTCACCTTTGTTCTTTACTTGTGTCTATGTAGGTTAGTAGCAATTGTGGAAGGAACAAAACTGGCTTCCTAGGAAGGAAGAAATTTTTTTCCTGGTGTATTCATTTGTCAATGAATACAATTCAATCTGGAATTGAATTCTTGTTGAGGGTTATGAAAATGGTTAAGATTGATGGAACAAAGAGCTGCCGAAAGATGCAGATTCCTTTTCCAACATCCAGTTGTTTCCTGGTATGGAGAATCACAAGAGGTTCTGAGGTTGTTCTAGCCAATCAATTGAATGCCTAATTTACTTGGGCAGTTGATGTTGATGCTGCTGAAGCCTTCTGGAGGAGAAAACTTTGTGGTGGGATCAATTCTTTCCTTGATGGTGAAATGGAGCACTGACAGGTAATTTATATATATTCTTCAAGTGCCTTTCCTCATAGCAAGGCAAGAATAACAACTATGTTTGTTCACATTCAAGTTACTATATTTGGGGAGTCCTATATTTCATGTAACACAATCTACTCAAATTTGAGTTCTTTTTGCATGGCCTTTTGAATGATTCCCCTTTCAGTTCCTTGTACGTGGTGTTATGCTTCTTAGTCCCTATTTAAATTAAGGGGCAGAAGATTATCCCCTTCTATTTGTGCTTGGACCTGAATTTATCTGCCTTCATCATGAACCAAAAACCTCACCACGAGGGAGATCCATCCGAAGTGGAGTTCACTGTGGTTAGAATTTCCTTTTTTGTTTTCCTTCCCTCCTTTAGCTTGTCATATGGTTGCCTGTAAATGAACTTCAAAAACTAACTAAACGACTGTATATGAATGGATTTGCAGGCTCCAACAAGATCATGGTGGTTTAAACCAAGGGCATTCAGCATCGTATGGGGCAATGATGATCGCTATTGGTCTGTTCCCAAGTAAGTTCTATTCCTCCTGCAGAAAGCTATGAATCACTAAGCATTCTGATGCTCTCCCTCTGCCCTGTATCTTATCTTGACAAAGCATTCTGATGCGTTTCTTAATGCCAGGGCAGGAGGGCCGGCAGAGCTGTTGCAGGTGAGCTGGCTTGAAGTAACAAGCATCATGCCCTCGTCGGAAGACAACATAGTGGCAGGGAAGAAGTATGCAATCTCTTTCCGTTTGCAGATGAAGCAAGGGGCTTTCGGTTGGAATGGTTGTTCCGTTTGCTTGATGTGTAAGATAGGGCAGGGGGGGAAGTACACAGCTAAAAAGATAAAGCTGGTTGATCAACCAGAGACCGATGAAGAGTTCGAGACAGAGAAGCTGGAGGTCACTGTCCCAGCTGATGCCAACGATATGAGGCTTTACTTTGGGTTGTATGAAGTCTGGTCGGGGAGATGGAAGGGTGGCCTGCTCATCCATGGCGCCAGAGTTGAAGAACAAGTTTAATCAAGAGTAGTGGAGAGGAAATAATCAAGCTGCCTGGGTGTAGTTCCCTCCATCGTTTGGCAGTGATGTATCTTTATTTGTTTGGTGTTCTTGTGGCTTACTTAGTTGGATGATAAAAAAAGGATCTAACATTTCTGCTAGATCCTACTTGGCTAATGTGTGAAATATATTACATTAATTTAGTATAAAATTTTCTAGCTAGTTTTACATATCTACCAGTGAACTAGAATCAATTTTGTGGTATTGAGAGTTTATCTTGCGGTGAATTTGAGCCTGGTTTCGATGAGTTTTTTTATAGTTTAGTTTATGAGCTTTGAACAAATTTCAATATACAAAAACATTTTACAAGTCATTGTAATCATATTTACGAATGGCAGTTTTTATCTTATATAATTTTTATTGTTACTGTCAAACCCACTTCACGTGAAATCCTGACTATACCTCTATAACACATTTAATACCCATCTAATATCAAATTTTAATTAGGGCAAATGAGAGAACGAAATATAAACACCATGTATACATGTAACCTTTTTGGGTTAACCCAGAGACTATCAGACATTATATCATGACTTTTGCAAATACACGTGAGATCTGAAGTACATGATATTTGTACTAAAATGCACCAGAAGAAGCAGAAGAAGTATGTTATCCTGAAATGAACAAACTTTAGGAGGAAGAATCATTATCATGGTGGAGTTCCAGGTGCACTTCCCGCAGAACCGCTTTCTCAATTTCATCAGCGAAGCTTAGCAACTGGTGTCGAATTTGGGAATCCAAGGAATTTGCTGTTTCCTGTGGATTTCAGATCAGAAAGCAGGAACCATTAGTGGGAGATGGAACTGGTTTCATCACTTAATTTCTCAAGAACTATTGTCAGCTTTACTAAGGCTAGGCAACAATTCACTTTCTTGGACGATTATATGGGCAAAGAAGGAAACTGATTACCTGAATCTTGCAAAGAGAGCTCAAGGAGATCTCCTTATGCTGGTTTGAGCTCTTGAGGGACATCAAGTTCAATGGTGAACTTGTTAGAGGCCATCCCGGGGGGACTTTTAGAAAGGCATCAACTCCTCCAACCAAATGAGCTTTTATGGTTTCATCTCTATACAAGTATTCAAAGGAATGCCTGCAAGTGTCCACTCGGTTACGTATTCTTAATTTTGGAAGCTAAAGCACTAATCAAGGTTCAGTCTGCTGTCGAAAAACATTTCAAATTTTCAGCTAATAAACTTCATCTTCTAAAAAGACAGCAGTACCTTGATTTGCTTGCACTTCTAGCCACCAATCTTCTCAAATTGCAGTCTCGTATTCTATCAAGTAGCTTCATTATAAACCATTGGAGTGACGAACTTGTCTCCGGAAGGGTGTCATGTGTGAACATGTGGCTGCAACCAGCATATACAACAAATTCTTCAGCAATACCATGAAAATAGTTGCATTTTCATCAGTATGCATAACTAAGTTATATGCAGTCGCCTTTTGCAAACATGCAAGAGATTGAAGATATTAATGCTATTCCATTTTGACTAACGTGATAAATGATTCTCCGCAAAAGTGAGTGCAAGTAGGTAGGGGCGACAGAAGGGAAGAAGGAATAGAAAGATCTAAACCTCAAGCTTTTAGGAGAAGGATACCGAAGAAAAGATGAATACCTGAATGAGTTGGCAGCACCTACTATATCACCAACGAATATATCATTTGGAAAAATCTGGACAAATTAACAAGTGAATCAAGAATGCAATACCTCATTTTAGATATTCAAAACACTTTCATGTTACAGAAAATAAAAAAACAATAAACAGAAACACTTGTGCTGTTGTGCACTTCATTCATAAATAAAAACACTTGCATGCTCCAATTACAGTGGCAATTCAGAACTTATGGACTATGATCGCATAACCCATGTGCTGTGTTCAGCCTCCAAAAGAATAACCCATGTAAGTATTGTTTGCTACATAACACGTATATAAGGGTTCACATGCACAGCAAAAGCTCCTTGTTAACTTTCATTGCCCTTATCACAATAATATACTGTGGCCTCATATCACCAAGCAATAGATGATGCTCTAAAGGTGACAACATGATCAAATTCTTGTCTTCAGTGAGATAAATTCAGGAGGTAAGAGCAATTAAAGCAGAAACCTAAAGGCTCGGACATGTAGTCATGCAACTATAAGTTTCAGAGAAGCTATGCAATCCTTATTCACATCTGAAAAGATCCCGCCTGAGTAATATACAAATTCTGCATGCCAAAATGATGCAATTAAGGTGCTACAGGTAACCATAAAAAAAAGGTGCTACAGATACTGCTATGACTAGCTGGTGTTGGACCATTCCTTTATATAAATGGCCGCAAACTGCTGGCACAGAAAATGATGGCTTGTATACCATCTTTTGATTCAGAAAAGAAGGAATCAAATCAATACCTCAACATTCTTAAGTTCCATTGTGTCACTGGAAGCTTCTATGAGAACTTTGTGATTTACTTCAGACAGCTCGCCAATATCTTCAATCTTTTGTTTGCACAAGACATCTTCCAATTCTTTTATATCTGTCCTCACTAACAAATTAATGCAGTTTCCATCGATTTCAATGACTTCCAGTACTGAGCAGGCGTTTTCAATTTGTTCCAAGGCATCAAACCTGGTATCGACATTCAAAAGAAAAAGAGCATGTCTTAGTAAAAGAATAGAAGAGCAAACAAGCCTAAAAGTAAAACAAATTGCTTACCGCTTGAGTGAAGAGTCAAGATCCTGCAAAGACTTTAACATTGCGGTGCTTTCCTCAATCTGATGCTCAAGCTTCATAATCTGAAAAAGGCAATTCTACATGTCACGTAAAATGGTAGACAGCGAAACAGTACCAACAAACCACAGCAAGGATACCTCAAATTCATCATCATGATCATGCCCTAGCAGTGAGCAAGCAAGGCGTGCACCATCAGTTCCCTGAGGTAAATCCTACCAAATAACAAACAGAAAGGAGAACAATGAAGCTAAGTAATACGTGATCCCTCAGCAAGCATTTTCAAACATAAAATTAAGAGATGATGTGAACATTTCAATTTCGGTTTTCTCAACCCCCGGCTTTGTTACACTAAGAGGACCAAATCCAGGAATTCAAGTACTTGACTCTAGGTTGCATGGTTATGTAGAAGGACTGACAATCACCTAACCAACAAAGCAGGAATACCCACCCCGTACACATGCATTCACACTTAGGTGTAGATTGGTGGACATAATAATTTCGTCTCACACTCTCAAACTGCCTTTAGTAAGTTCAATCAAGACCGATAATGCTCCTACTTCGAGAACATAATATGATCAAAGCTTAAAAGCAAACCTCTGAAGATGTACGTTCCAGTGAACACTTCAACCCTTCGAGATCGCTCTCTAGTCGACTGGAATCTGAAGAGAAGGTCAACAACTTCAAGAATAAGCAAACATAAAATACCAAAATTTGCAGACAATACAAGTTTTTCCAAGCATGAATAGTGAGTATCAACCTTCGAGATTGATCCTACCGAGAGCTTCAATTTCAGTAGCGATCTTAGTACTCTCAGCCTCCGCCGCAGAGAGCTCGTCTCTTAAGTGCTCCAAGCATGCATCTACACCAGTCCATTCTCCCGATAAGTTGACAGCGGAACTAATTAACTCAAGAGCTTCTCCGAAGCATTCACTCATACCCACCAAAATCACCAATTCCAATTGAATGAAACCCTACCTAAATCTGAAATCCCTAAGTAACCCACCTCGGAGAGACCCGATAAAACCTGGTCGACTCTGCTCTGAAAATGGAAGACACGACGGTGGAAAAGAAGACAGAAATTTTGAGCATAGTAGCACCCGAGGAATAGAGAATTTCAGGAGATTTCTGTACCTCCGGCTGAAGAGCGCAATCAATCATCAACTGGTCCGAATCCGTAGACACCATTTCCTCGTCAATGCAGCTCCTGTACACTTCTTCAAGCTCACTAATTCGACTGCAGGGAAGGAAGGAAGGAGGAAAAACCAAGTTAGAAGACGGCGTGGGTACTACTGGTAGGCGGTAGCATACATAGCTAGGTAGAGTTAGAAACTTGAATGACTTTGACAAACCTCTGAATTGCTTTGAGATCGAGAGGCTCCATGTCTGAGGGTGGAAGGTTCTGCATTTCTCAGTGCTTTCTGTTCTACAGTTCTACGCAGAGAGACAGCAGACCCTGTCCAAATTTCTACCCTGGCTCAGCTCAGTGATAGAGGCACATTGATATCAGAGAATGGAAGCACCGGCTGGCAAGCGAGATTTTTACCCGGAATACACACGCTTTTTTTAAAAAAAATTCTAAAATACATACATTTTATAAATTCCAAATCTACACATGCTTAGACAACACAGGGAGTCCGCCACCGTCAACCGCGGAAAATGCACCGCTGCATATTAAAGGGTGAATGCATCACCGCGGTTGACGGTCGCGGTGAAGGCTTCACCGCGTTTGTCGGTCGCGGTGAATGCCCGACCTAAAGCTGAAACTTCAAACTAACGTAACTTTGCGCTCGGTTAGCCGATTGTAGCGAAATTTATTTTGATTCGACATAACTTTTTAAGATCTTTCAATCTGCCATTATCCTTCATCCAAAAAAAAAAGTCGTTTGCTACCCCGAACCAGCAATTTTTCAATTTCGACAAACTTTGGAAGACCATAACTTTATGCTCCACAATTTGAATGTCGTGAAACTTTTTTTGATTTCGCATAACTTTTTAAGGATCGAAATTGATTCAAAATATACTCAATCCGATTCCATACAATTCATCTCGGGATAGATCAAATCTCTGTTCAGTGTTCACCCTCAATCCCTATAGTGCTTTATTCCAGATAAAAAATAGTAAAAATAAATTGGATTAAAAGTAGGACGAACACAGTTTTAATCTAGGGATGGAAAACGGTTAGTCGGCAAACAAAAAATTATGTCTGTAATTGCATTCTAAATCTCCAATATGAGTCTCTCAGTATCATTGACAACATACAAAGAATCCCTGTTATACACATGGTACAGAAATGGATCGCTTTGCTGAGTGAACAGATAAAAAGTAGTTCAGGCTGCTGTCAGACAACCCAACAGAGCTCATTATTTACTCCGCAGGAGTCAAGAATAGTGAACCACCTTCCAATTTTCAATCTTCAGGAACCAACTGCACTTGGAGCTAAATACCTGGTCTTGCAGATTGAAGATGGGGAAGCAGACCTGTAGCTCGTCTACAATTTAACAACTCTACCAGGTCAGCTTAAAGCATATACTACTAACATTAGAGCTAATGTCTGAGCATCTCGCGTTCGTTCAGTTTCTTGTGGGAAGGTAGACTCTGAAGAAGCCTCGTCTGCCAACCTTCTGCCTGCAGGTAGGGCACTTCTTGTTTGATGATGCTAGTGATTTTCTTAAGCACTCTTTACAGAAGATATGGCCGCATTTCGTTGAAGTTGGCTCGACCAGATCACTCATGCATACAGGGCAACTGAAGATGGATTCGTTTGGAGGAGGTACAGGGCATATGGCTTCCTGAACATTCTTTGCCTGCAATAAGCCGTTCAACAGTGATTACCGGAAGGAGGAAAACCCAGAAGTAGAAGAAACAATTACGGGTGGCTTCCAAGACTCGATAGACAAAATATGACAGTGCTAAACCCAATATGGACTTGGAAGGGGGAGGCTGCTCTTCAAAGCTGCTGTAACTAACAGTTGTTTGACACCATTTCAAAACTTGTCAGCTAAGATATATAGAGGTCGGGGACAGCTGGAATAGCACTATGGGATGGCTAAGATTCAAGAGTACATACATACTGATTTTTTTTGTCAGAGACAGCTAAATCATTCCAGAAAGAGAGGTAACATAAACCTATTATGAAATTGCACAAAATGGCAGATACCATATCGCGTAAGCTCATCAACTACCGAAAGCGTAAACCATGTCAAATACCTTCTTGTTACTGATTCCTGATTGCAGGAGCAGCTCGCTGTCACCTTCAGGCATTTTCCTTTTACAATGTCCACACATTGTCGTCTCAGCTGCCAATCCAATGCATACAGGATAAGATGAAAATCAAACAAAATGCAACAAAGAGCTTGCTCTAAAAGCAAACGTAGACAACCAAGTTTACTGAGTATCAGCAAAAAACACACAGCAATACTTCAAGAATGTGATCAGCGAATCAAGCCATTAGCATTTCATGCTGATCAAGAATGGAGCACCCCAAGTGTAAGTGGTATATTCATTATCACCATGATGAACTCGGTGAACATGGAATGTAAGATCTAATAGGGATTCTTAAGAAAGGGGAGAACCACAAAATGTAAGCAAAATCTTCATAAACACCAAATGTTTTTGGCGTTCCTCATGTCTGCCGACTTTTTGCCTGGTCTCCTCAATAGAAAGAAAAGAAGAAAGGGAAATGTAGAGTAGATGTTCAGCTCTCCTATCTCAATATCACAAGACGATTCCAAAGTGTAGCTCAACAATCAAAATCCATACTTCACCCAACCAACTAGAAAAAGGGCATACAGTAAGGCAAAATCCCGAGATTCAAAGATTTTGGGCACCACGAGCTCAAGAAATGCCATTTCACAATTCACAGATAGAAGTTCAAACTGATGGAAAGCAAAACCACCCTGTCTGTCTACCAACATAAGATTCCCATACAATTACACCAGCCATGTAAAAGGGAGACACCAGCTTACCATCGAAGAAACTAGGTGCCGCTTCACCCAAAACGTCATGGAGTCTCCGCACATTGTTTCTGGTAACATTGCACTTCGCCTGAAACGCCAAAGAGAAGGACGGGTAAACATTTAGCGCACAAGAAAGCAAATAAATATACAATAAAAAGGGAAGAACAAGAAAAATCTAGGACCCATTAACACCACCACACCTGAGCAAAAGTCCTGGGAGAGATTACAGCAATCTCATCGTCGGAAAACTCAACATAACCCGACCGCCGGCGGGTAAAACCCCCACTATGCGCTCCTGAATCGGGCAAAACAGAGAAACCAATTAACCCATCAAGAACAGGCTCATCCACAGGCGGGAGGTGATTGAGATCCGGCACCCATCCTCTCCTCCAATAGCGCGTCATATCCCCTTTTTCCCCCGCAAAGAACGTAGCTTCCCACCGAAATCTGAGAAACCCAGGAGAGAATCCGATTGAATCTCAAAACCCAAAAAGCCAAAGAATAACAAGAACATAGGAGAGTAGAGGAAACGTAAAGAAAAACCCACCTACGAGAGGAGGTTTCTCGATTCAATAATGGGGTTTCTCAATTCAATAATGGACTAACGGATTTCTCCAGCAAGAAAGCAAAAGAAAGAAGGAAAGGTTGGGGGCGAGGGAGGCGCGGTGGGGGAAATAAAGGAAGGAAAGAACGAGAGGAAAAGGATTTTGAAGAAACGGCCGAGGGAGTATCAAAGACGGTGGACGATTTGGTTTTATCGAGCGTCGGAATAGGAAGAAGAAGCGCACTGCAGCGGCCCTCTGTTTTTCTTCCCATCTTTGTTTCGAGGAAATGCTTTGGCCACTTGACCCTGGATGGATCTATCTCCATTTTCTTTTTCATTTCTTACTTTTCTTTTTTCCCTCTGCCAGAAAAGTCATAAATGGCGCCGATTATCTTCCCCGCTTTTGTTTTGTGCCGGTTCAATTTTAAAATTAACGCCTTGTTCATCTTGTTTCATTGGATAGTGATCTTCAAAGCCTTAAAAAAAACCCTTCAAAGTTATACCTTTTGCGGTTATTCATATGATCAATTTGGCCTGTTGTCCACAGTAGTAATAAGTAGGGGTGGGCATTGGGTGGGTTGGGTGGATTTTGACCATAAAATGCACCTACCCGTAATTAAACGGATTGATAATTTTTAACCCACCACCCACCCACATTTAGTCTCGGGTTGGGTCGGGCGGATGGTGGATGATGCGGGTGGGTTTGTGGGTTCACCCACATCACAATGCATATAATATAAAGGAGTCAACTTGACATGATAATAGGTGAAGAGAATCATCGAGGGAAACCAGAAGTTGAAATAGGGCAAAAAATGTCGAATTAGTTATTAAATTGGACAAAAATTCTATTATGAAAGAGTTTTCTACAGATTGAGACGATTATTAGGTGCAAGGAACTAAGAAAAATAATTCCACAAAGGAAAGAACGGTGATCTAGGCACAAGAATTAGAGGAAAAAGTAAAGGGAAAAAGAGGGGATCTCTATTTGGAAGGTTGGCTTTGAGGTTCAAACTCCAGGAGTAGTCCGAGTTTATATCTAACGTCTCCACTCTCCTCTCTCTAGCGCCAACGACTTTGATTTTTTTGCTGTTGGGTTGAGCGGGTCACCCGCACACTCACCCACAACCCACCCACCACCCGGCGGATGGCTCCCAGCGCAACCCGTCACCCACCCACAGACCCACCCACTTAACGAAATTCGGGTCAAATGCGGGTGGGTCGGCCCAAACCCGCGGATGATCCGCCGGCATGCCCAACCCTAGTAATAAGTGCATGAACTCAGAAATAGTATTTTGTAATTAAATTCAGGCTTTTAGTTAATTCAACAATTAAGTCTAGATTTATATTTTTAAGCAGTTACTTTTTCTATTTGACTTGTTTCTTCCTGCTTAAAAATTTTTTGGTTCTCGATAATGTATTCAATTCAAGTGAAAAATAGTTCTCGAGCATCAACTACTTTTCGACTAAGTATGGATAGATGAGCCTATAACCAAACGCAAACTTAGTAAAGCTTAACTCGAGTTCAATCAAAGTAGAAGGACTAAAACATGGATTATTCTACTCTTTAGCTCAGAAATATTTCCGTTGTACCCTTTTATTTTGGTTTGTAGTAGAGAAATTTCTAAAAGATACGACATTCATAAATTTGTTATTCATTCATCTAAAAGATCGAAATAAATAAGTTATTTTAGACATAAGTATGTATATACCATATGCGATTCAACATAATAAGTGTCATGAACGGGATGAAATTGCTTCAATTGTGTGCTTGTTCAATGAAATAAATAGGCAATTAGGGTTTTTTTTTTTTTTACAATATCCCACATTATTAGGGGTTGAGCTCGAAATTATTTGTCAATATACGACATACATCCTCTCAATTGTCACAGTAACTCAATTATAAGACAAACTACTATACGAAAAGTTGACTCATCACAAAACACAGAAAATTGCCTAGTATTATTATAACTGAACTAAGAAACTCCTACTCACTTTTGTCATACATAAAAGCAAACAATGCATTTATTGTCTGTGCAAAAATTAAAAAAACAATGTATTGTGGACAATGCATTGTAACTATCACAATCAAACAATCACCAAAACCAAACGACCCTAAGTTCTTATTAATGTTCATACAACTACAAAATCCATACACAACAAATAAATAATAATAATAACAACCCATTTCCCAGTGGTTTCCCGAACATTATTCTCTCGCGCGATTATATAACTACCAATTGCTACCATAAACTTTCTTGCATTACAATGTTGCTAGTTGCTACACAGCAAAACTAATTTTGCCTTCCACTTTGTCTCCTACCACAAGTTGCCAAGTTGCTGCAAAACGTGTATGGGTGGTGGAGTTCCAAGTTTGTATCACCTCAATGCTTGGTGTACCTTTCAAGGACTTCAAAGTAATCAGGGAACGTTTTCTTTGTGCAGCCAGGATCCCTTATGGTGACTGGTACATCAGCACAAGCAGCAAGGGAGAACGCCATCGCCATCCTGTGATCGTCATATGTATCGATTTCAGCAATTAATAGTTTCTCGGGTGGAGTGATTATGCAGTAATCTGGTCCCTCCTCGACCGTGGCTCCCAGCTGAAACACCAAATTCAAATTGTCAGAACAAACAAACAAACAGGAGCAGAAACCAGACAGTTTCCAGATCTTAGTAAAAATGTAAGGAGTTGAGAGAAGATTGCGGGTGGCGACCAACCTTCCTGAGTTCTGTGCAAATAGCAATCATGCGTTCCGTCTCTTTCACTCTCCAACTAGCCACTGCACATAGGAAAATGTAAAGAGTTGTGATATGGAACTGTGAAAATGGTTTCTGAAGATGCATGTTACATCCTAAGCATTATTGCAAGTAAATAATCATCAATGCGGACTTATCAGTTTGAATTTTGTGAGATCAAGATTATTAAGTTTAGAAACAAACATAATCTTTGCTTGAAGACCATCTGGAGCATTCAATTTTAATTTTGCACAGGGTGAATATGAGAACTCACCATCTCTTATGGCAGTAGGTCCATCAGCATAGAGAGCAACCACCGCAAGAGTCATAGCAACGTCTGGCATTTTGTTCATGTTTACATCAACAGCTCGTAAATGTTTTCTACCAGAGGCGTCTCGTGGAGGCCCTGTAACAGTGACACTATTCTCTGTCCATGTAACTTTAGCTCCCATTTGCTCGAGCACTTCAGCAAATTTTACATCTCCCTAATTTTCACACAAAAAAAAAAAAAAGAAGAAGGATAAATTGGATCATACACCAGAACCTAAACATAATCGAAAGAAAACTATGTTACTTGAGGCAAGGAGGAACTTGAAAGAGCTGCAACAAAGTAAACCATACTTTTGTTGAGTGTGACAATATCATTTTGACCACCAGCAAAAAGAAAGAATGGATATAGTATCTAGGCTGGCTAATTTTCTCATGATAGCAAAAGGACTTAAAAGAAGATGCACGATTCAAGTACCTGTAAACTACTTGTTCCACAACCTTCGACAGTGATAGTGCCACCCGTGATGGCAGCCCCTGCCAGGAAGTAACTGGCACTTGAGGCATCACCTTCCACATAAGCATTCCCAGGAGACCTGATATTGAGTTCCCTTTGTTATTTCAAGTTATAGCATCCTTTCACATGCTTGATATTCTTGAAAAACTTACTTGTATGTTTGACCTCCTTTGACAAAGAAACGATCCCAACTACCACTGTGTTCCACAGTGACTCCAAACCGTTCCATAAGTTTCAGAGTCATATCCACATACGGTATGGAAATCAGTTTGTCAATAATCTCGATCTCTACATCTCCAAGGGCCAAGGGAGCAGCCATCAGCAAAGCAGTCAAGTATTGACTACTAATTGACCCAGAAAGCTTAACCTGAAAACAGATGTGAGAAGAGTGACTTAGGAAGGCTCTCTTTGACTTTCTTGTGAAAGATAAACCATGTCAAAGATAGGGTCTAAGCAACGAACAAACAAGAAGTTATTTTTCCCGCACCTTCCCTCCTGGTAAGCCTCCCTTTCCATTTACATGAACAGGAGGACAACTTGTAGAAGAACAAGTGACATCAGCCCCAAGCTGCTTGAGACCAACAACCAAATCCCCAATAGGTCTCTCTCTCATTCGTGGTACTCCATCGAGGATGTAACTGAAGCATAGAGAGCAGTCAAGCCGATGTTACTACTGCAAATACGTAACCTAAGGTACTTTGGAAATGGAAATCCTAGTGTAGAAATGCAGCAATGTTCCTCATAACAATCTAAAAAATATTGCATCTTAAACCATTAATAAACCAACTTGTATAAACTAACCAATGTACCAATTAAACAAACATTTCTACAAAGTTTTATGGTAGAAAACTTGCAACATTTAGAAGAACGTTTAGGACTGAAAGGGGAGGAGGGACTACCTAGAGTTTCCACCAGCAACTGTAACAGCAGCTGTCAGCGGTCGCATTGCGGTTCCAGCATTTCCAAGGAAAAGTTCAACATCATTCTTTGCCTGCTTACCCACAGGAAACACACCACCACAGCCTTTAACAATGGCACGCTTCAGTTCACTGTTATGCTCCACATCGAGTCCAAGTGTTTTCAGTGCACCAAGCATGTAATGAACATCATCACTATTCAACAAGTTGTCCACCACGGTTGTACCCTGGATCCCAAGTTACTTAGTAAGATAACGACGAAGAAACAAAGTATAAATTGACTAACACAAGCGAACATCGCTAGTATGACTTAAAACACCACGATCAGCTGAAAGCATCCTTGGCTACTTACCACTTCACTCCAAATGTTCAAAACAGCTAAAGACAACGAGCACAGAAACCTCTAATCTGTTTCCTCCAATCTAAGTTGTAGATAACAAATCTAACCACTGAAAATAAAAAGGGATTGTACTGAACATATGATCTCTTGGATGATCCTCTTTCATTTCTACTAACCAATTTCTCCCCAAGCAGTCAAAGGGAGAAAGAAAGTAGCTCAACAAATCAGAACTAAACAAGAGCCCAGAAGAATCCTCCATACCTCAGAGAGCGCAGCGAGAAGGAGAATCCGATTGGATAGAGACTTAGAACCGGGCAAAGTTACAGTACCGGAGATGTCCTTGATGGGCTGCAACACGATCTCCGGCACCTTAGAAGGCTTCTCGGCGGTGGCAAGCGAAGCCGAAACCCGAAGAGGAGGAGGAGCGGTAACGGCACCCACATTACCCAGTCGTCGACATTGCTTTAAACCTACTACACACCCAACAGAATGCGATGACCCAAAGGAAACCCGCGACGGGAGGGATTTGGGGCTTCGAGTTGCAGATATACTGGGAAAACAGCCCGGGCTTTGAGCTCCGCTGCAGATTTTGGTAATCTGCGCCATTACCTTACTCGGAAATTGAATCACTCCGACTTTGTGCCTGAAATCTTGATAATTTCGGTGACCCCTTGAGAATTTGGATCTCGAGAACAGAAAAAGGAGGGAAATTTGGGGTTTGGTGGGCGTAGTTGGTGGGCGACTCGAGCAAGTATCGACTCGGATTTTGGGTTTTCTTTCTGATGTCTGAAACTTCACCAACCAAATTCGGGTTGGTAAATTCCTGATTGGTACCTGTATTTAGTGGTGGGGTCGGAACTCGGAATCGGATGAAAAGATGGTTGTTGAGTGGGTAGCTTTTAGAAATTTGGCAGTGGTAGCCGGTAGGCAAGACAAGGTGGCGGTAGGTAAGGTGGATCAGGGAGAATGAATGGGTCAATTTATGTGCGTTTGGATGAGGAATTGTAACGGATCAATTTGACACAATTGTCTCGTTTTGAGACAATTGTACCAAATTGTCTCGTTTGCCAGCAAAATTTTTGGATGGATCAATCTGCCTGAGGTATTTTGAATTGATCCGTTTTGAGTCAATTTCAATTACCTGGGGTGGGGGCAGGTAATTCGAATTGGCTCGCTTTAATTGCCTCGTTTATAAAACGAGACAATTGATCAAATTGACTCATTTCTAGATTGATCCATCCAAACGACCCCGGAACGGGCTTTGCTTGGGCTGCTAAAATTAAATTAGTAAGTTCGATTAATTTACCGAAGCCTTTCCAATTTCTATCCAAAAAAAGACCAGGGCCCAAGCAAAGACTACATTGTCCACCGTTGTTTAAGAGGTATTTCGACGAGGAACAACAAGATACGAATATATACAGAATTGCAAGTCAATTCATCAAGTATTAATATGGAAGAAACATTGGTCAACAAACAAACGAGCTCGCTCAAGGACAAGTCGATCATGTAGCTTTAAACTCATTTTTGTACTTGCTGTTTTATTTTCTAATTATTTCTTCAATTAATGGAAGACTAGAGAATAGTACAATAATAAATAGATCCAGTGACAGCTGTTTTGCCTCGATATGGGCAATCTGTTCTAATTAGGGGTGTCAGTTCGGGTCGGGTTCGGTTACCCAAACCGAAACCCGAAAAACCCGAAATCGAAAAAATCACTAAAACCAAACCCGAACCCAATAAGGACTTGCGGGTTCCGGTTACCCGAAACCCAAAAATTCCTTATCGGGTTCGAGTTCGGTTAAAGCAAAACCGAAACCCGAAAACTCGAACGCTTAAAATTACGGGCTGAGTTCTATTCATTGGAGGTTTTTAGTCGGAACCCGAAAAACCGATAAGCAAAACCGAACCCGAAACCAAAAAAACCCGAAAAACCGAAAATGTATATGATCGGATCGGTTTCAGATAAACCCGAAAAACCGAACCCGAATGGACACCCCTAGTTCAATTAGATAAGGAAGATACGTTGATCGGCCAACAAACGATTCAATTAGAGAACCTGTTTTTGCAACGATATGGGCAAGCTCTATATTGTCACCGTTGACTTCGCAATGGGTGCTGCCTGCTGCCAAAAGAAAAAAGGGCACAATAGCTCTGATTGCTCGCTCAGCAAACCAAATATCACGGCTGGTGAAAACTTCAGAAGCAAATGATCAGAAGCAAATCAAACCCAAAGTTCAAAGATTAATAAGAAGAGGAAGATGAAGTGGAAGTGGAACTCTCGCAATCATTGTAACTGTCATTGCCTCCTTCAAGCTGCAGAAAGTTTCAGACAACCTTACCTTCAACTTTGGCTTCCCCGCAAGTTACAGGGCACCCAAAACAGTGAGTGAATTGTGAAACAAGAAAAAACTTGCATGTGTAGCTTGCTTGCTTGTTTAATCATAACAACTAGCAGCAAGCAACTTCATTATTAGGAGTGTGAGCCCAAACCCCGTTATTAAGCAAGAAAAGTAAAGCAGCAGCAGTGGCAGTAGCAGCTAAACAAACACCTGATGCCAGTTACAAAGCTGATTAACAATGCGGGTTTTATTCTACTTGGCAGAAGCGAGAAGGGCATCAATTTTGGTGGGCAGGTGAGCTTCATGATCCTCAACCCGCCCCGTAATGGCGTCCTTCTCCCAGCGAACAAGGGTTGGGACTCCAGTGAGCTTGAAGTTGGAATCAGTTCTCCAAGGATGGGCGGGGTTCCTCCAAGTGGGTCTGTCACCAACATAAGCTCGAAGGAGAGCGACATTAGCTTCCGATTCTTCAAGCTTCTTGTATATCACCGGCTCAGCCCTCACGCAGTCTGGACAATCCACCAAAACAAACACATAATAAAACTAAAGGCTGTTGCTTTTTTGCTCTGTTTGGGCTGGCTGATTATGATGCAAGCTAGCACTGATTCGATGAACCCAAATCTCAAACCCTAGAAAGGACAACCGTGCTGAAGGTTTAGGGAAGACGTAACAGGAGAGATTAACTAACCGGGGCACCAGCTGAGGTTGGTGGAAGGTTCATTGTCGGCAAGGAAGAGGATGAAATTGGAGTTGAAATTGGGGGCATCTGCTTTGAACTTGCTGAATACTTGATCGAAGCTCGACAAGCTTGCGTCTACGATCTTCACCGTCATCTTCTTCCTTCTTTCCTTCCTCCCTCGCTCGCTGTTTGTTTTCCGATATCAATGAAATTGGATTCGTTCTCTTTGCCTTTCCCTTCCTGTCGCCTTGCCCTTCGGCCGTCTCTCTCTTTGAGTTGTTCTTACGATTCCTTTGTCAAGGAATTGACGGCGAGTCGGCGACCCAAATACTTCTGGGCTCGTGCGGTAGAGTCTAGTAGGTAGGCCCAAAAACTTCTGGGCTCGAGCGGCCCACTAGATAGCTGGCGGGAATTTACAGTCATCTCGAGTCGACCGTACCCGCTCTCTCTGTCTTACTCTCTGCGTAACCGGAACCCTAACGCCCAAAAACCCTCAGGGAGTCGAAGCAGAGCACACGGCAATGGGGAAGAAGGGCAAGCAATCCTCGTCCACCGACGACATCCTCAACACTCTTGGAGACTTCACCAGCAAGGAAAACTGGGACAAATTCTTCACCATCCGCGGCGTCGAGGATGCCTTCGAGTGGTACGCGGAGTGGCCAGAGCTGAGCCAGCCCCTCCTCTCCCTCTTCACCGGCGCTCCTTCCTCGCCGGAGATTCTCGTGCCTGGTTGCGGGAATTCGCGGCTGTCGGAGCATATGTACGATGCTGGTTTCAAAAGTATCACGAATGTGGATTTCTCCAAAATTGTCATCTCTGATATGCTCAAGAGGAACGTGAGGGAGCGGCCTGGGATGAAGTGGCGAGTCATGGACATGACGAGTATGCGGGTGTGAATGTGATTCCTGTTTGTTGCTTTCAAGTTACTTGATGCCGAGACGTAATGTGGCTGTTCCTCTTTCCCATGGCTGGTTTGTTAATTTGTTTGAAGTGTACATTTTCCCAGTTTGACGACGAGACCTTTGATGCCGTGCTCGATAAAGGTGGATTGGATGCTTTGATGGAGCCGGAGTTAGGGCCTAAGCTGGGTGATCAGTATTTGTCTGAGGTTCGTGGGCGTTGACGCCATGTTTCATCATTCATGTGCCTTATTAATGTCTATCTATTTCCTTCGCTGATCATTCTCAATTCATCAGGTTAGAAGACTTCTGAAATCCGGGGGCAAGTTTATTTGTCTTACCTTGGCAGAATCTCATGTCCTAGGTACGATAATGGTGACTTCTTTGCTTGTTATCTTACTTCAGTTGGTTTCAGGGATCAATTTGGAGCTATGTGCTTATGCTTGAGTTTACATTTTGCAAAGAATCAAAATTAGTTCTTTCTCTGTTTCCTCTGGCAAAGTCTCTGCATCTGTTTTCTCGTGCTGGGTTATCTTATTGTGGTTCTCTTGTCTCCTTCCCTTTCTAGGTTTGCTTTTCCCCAAATTCCGATTTGGATGGAAAATGGCTGTTCATTCCATTCCTCAGAAGCCATCTAACAAGCCTAGCTTAGTTACATTTATGGTGGTTGCCGAGAAAGAGGATTCCTCAACTGTCTTGTCGCCTATAACATCATCATTAGGACAGTCTCGTCTTAATTCCGGTGGAGGTCAGGTACGGAGAGATTTGTGTCATTTGACTGTTCTGTCAGATAAGTTGACATAGAGATGCATCATAGGACATGGTCAGAAAAAAGAGGATGTTAATAATGATCCTCTTTTCTTTTTCGTTCTTACTTGACTGTAATATGTCATCACTTGATCTCGAGATTTAGTAAATGGATGACAAAGCTCTCTACATTGGCCCTTTTAGGCTGCTGGTCTCTTTGAAGCCCTGGAAAGGGAGAATCAAATTCGAAATGAATATTCAAGTGGGTCTGATATTCTCTACTCTTTTCAAGACCTCCAATTGGGAGCCAAAGGCAACTTGAGCAAGCTGAATCAAGGTAGCAGGTTCCAATTTACTCTAGGCGGGGAAGGCAATTCCCGTTTCTGTTATAGTGCCATACTGCTTGACGCCAAGGAGAACTCGGGCTCATTTTCTTATCATTGTGGAGTGTTTATCGTGCCGAAGGTATGTTATATTTCTTGGTGCTTGTCTTAGACTGATAGTCTTTAAGCATGGAAAAACTTTTTTATGTTTATTATGCTAGTCCTGTTTTGTTTTCATTTTTAATGTTGAACTTGCGAAACACACCAGTCACCGCCATGTATGGTATGATGGTTTCCCCATTACTTCGGTGAATTCATCTTGATTGGTCGTGAAATTAGTTTTGTTTGCTTATGTGTTTCTATGGATGTAGAGAACACACACACACATAGAGAACATCCAAGTTAAATTTCAAAACAAAAGGAATATACTTTGTTCAAGCACGTTAATATATGTCTAGGTATTAGTGATGATCTTTCTTTCTATTTTAGACTCTTAACCAAATTTAAGATTTCAGACACGCGCTCATGAATGGCTCTTCTCTTCAGAAGAAGGACAGTGGATGGTTGTTGAAAGCTCAAAGGCAGCTCGTCTAATTATGGTACTTCATTTTCCTAATAGTTAGATTTTATAAGTTTCGAATTGCAACATTGCCTGTTCGCAACATTAGAACTTAGAAGGGAGACATGGAAGGAGCTATGTTTTGTAACATCTAATTACACTTGTCATATTTAATGAAGGTTATATTGGACCGCAGTCATTCAAGTGCTAGCATGGCTGACATTCAGGTAACCAATTTCCAAATTCCAATATTTATGAACAACTTCTTTTTGATTGAATTATCAAGTTTGTGTTGCTTTTATGACTCTTTAATAATGATTTATATATGATTCTATTTCAGGCAGACTTGTCTCCTCTAGTAAAACAGCTTGCACCTGGAATAGATGCTGAGGAAGTACAAATTCCGTATGTTCTTCTCTTATTCTTCTTGCTTTGATATCCTTTTAGGCATGTTAAATACTGTTTATTGAAAGTTGAGAAAGGGGAAGGGAGAATAGTAGCAATGATCATTTTCACTGGTTTAAATGTCTTTTTCTATAATGTTACTGATTGGTTGGATGCATGTCAATTATTGGTGCAGGTTCATGATGGCCAGTGATGGGATCAAGCAACGGAATAATGTTCATCAGGTTCCAACTTCAAGTTCATACTTATTTTTTATAATGTCTATCCTGAATTGTCGTGGAATGCGTAATCCTAACCTCAAATATAGAGCTATTCACAATACGACGTCAATTCAGTGAGATGTGTAATTTTGTGTTGACTACTTGTTTCCATGTCTAGACATCAGGAGGCTGCTTGTGTTTTGAACTTTTGATACTCATTTTGCTTGCAACTTGATGAGATCAATTAAAGTAGGGAGATGCACGTCAACTGTAAAATTAAAATATGCAGGAGTGTTTCGTGTTTTTTACTAATTCCTAGCAATACTGCATGTAGGTGACCTCACCATTAACGGGACCCATAGTTGTTGAAGATGTTGTATATGAAAACGTTGATGAGGATGTTGCTCGCCTTCTTTCATCTAGAGATTTGACATTCCGCCGCCTCGTGTTTCAAAGAGCTGAAAACTTGGTGCAGTCTGAAGCTCTTCTTGTTAGAAATGGAGCCTTAAAGAATGATCAAGAACAAAGAAGAAAATCTAAGTCATCTTCCAAATCAAAAAAGAAAGGCAATCATATACAGAAAAATGGTACTGATTCTTTTCAATTTTGACATGCTTGTAACCTCTTCTATCTGAAATTTATTATTTACTTATCTATTGATTATTTGCAAATGGAGCAGAATCAGGCGACCAACTTCATGTTTATCATGATTATCTGGCTAGCTCATATCATTTGGGAATTGTATCTGGATTTGTTTTGATTGCTTCTCAATTGGAAAACATGGTTTCAAGTGGGAGAAAGGTAATACTAACAATGTTCTTTGTGAAGCTTTACTACCTAAAGCTTGTTGCTTCCAGAGTCCATTTATCATGTTCCAATTTTAAAAGTTACATTTCTTAAGACGGGATTCCACTTCCCGCATACTGATTTACTTATTAAATATACTTTCTTCGTAGGTTAATACAATTGTGATAGGTCTTGGAGCAGGTTTACTGCCTCTTTTTCTTCATCGCTCAATGTCATTTCTGCTTGTAGAGGTATGTATGGTCTATATATACCATCTCTTCAATGTCAATAAGATAAACAAAGAATTTCAAGGATTTTTATAATCTTTCAGTTGAGGACTAACAATTTGTGGTATTCTTAGGCAGTGGAGCTAGATGCCGTGATACTCGATCTTGCAACAGATTATTTTGGTTTCTCCGAAGATGAATATTTGAAGGTCACATTCACTAATTGACAGGCTCACGATATGATTGCAAAAATATATACATGATTTCCATTATATTTACACTCAGCTAGAGTTTTGTAGGTTCACATTGCTGATGGGATTAAGTTCATTGGAGAGGTGGAGAATCAAGCAAACAGTTCTTCCAATGGGAATTCACCTAAGAACGAGGACAATACTAGGTCTAAGATTGACATACTTATTATCGACGTGGACTCGGCAGACTCAAGGTTGGTACACTGTCATAGGTACTTTTAGTTCAACAAATTATCACTGAAAATTCATGATAAATTACAGCCTCATAATTTGTCCTCCTTATTCTTGTTTACAGCTCTGGCATGACTTGCCCTGCTGCAGATTTCGTCGAGGAGGCATTTCTTTTGAAAGTAAAGAATGCCCTCTCCGAGCAAGGTTTGTTCGTGGTTAATTTGGTCGCTAGGTCCCCTACGATGAAAGACATGGTTGTGCAGAGAATGAAAACAGTGAGGATAATCTATTACTCCTTTTATCTTACGCCCGCGAGTATATACTAATACACATTTTGTTCAAGAGTAAATTTGTTGGGTTTATAACCGTTTTTCTTTTTATAGGTCTTTGCCCATCTATATAGCCTTCAGCTAGAGGAAGATGTGAACATGGTTCTTTTTGGCTTATGCTGCAAGGACTCCATTGAACCGAAGTCATCGCCCCAATCTATTCGACGATTGGAGAAGCTGCTGAATTTGAGACACCCGGTAATGAGCCAAAGCATTGTGGAAGGCGCTAAGAAGATCAAGTGCTTGAAATGAGCCGACGAGGATACGAATGTATGTCAAGGACAAGTCGAATTATGTTTGGTGAATGAAGGAGCTTATCGGAGAGAGAGAGAGATATGAGTTGCAATATGTGTAAAGGTAGGCTTTCAGATTTAGAAGGTCATGAGTGGGCGGGATGTAATCTGGCAGTACACTACTCAAGTTTTGTGGTATGTTGTACTTTTGTGCTTCCTTCTTCTTCTTTTGTATTGCCTTAACTATTTGGCAAAGTGGAAAATGAAACAGTTATATAGTTAACTGCGTATTTGTTACTATCCTGCAGTTTTTAGATACCCACCTTGCACGTGATAAAAAGTGTTGGGTCTAGTATTAACCCGCCTAATACGGGGCCAAGTCCATTCTAGGGTCCAGTACATCAGGAGGCGTCCAGTCCGCCCGGGGGGCGTCCATCACCGGGAGGCGTCACCGTAAGGCGTCCACCGATGGAAAGTGTCCAGTCTACCTGGGGCGTTCATGACAGCGGGAGGCGTCCATAGGATCCTCCGACTCCTATATAAGGAGGCCAGACCCTCCAAGCAAGGGGACTTCTCTCCCTTCCCTCATTTTATCACTTATGGCTTTCTCTCTAAACCATATCTCTCTCTACATTCTCTACACTCTATCATATATCTTATTCTAACTTGGGCGTCGGAGTGTAGATCACGGGGGCCGCCCCCGACTCTCCACAGGATTCTTCCACTCCCGAGGAGATCAGACGAGGGAGTCCGGATCAAGGTTCCACACTAATCCCCGGTACTAATCCGGGTCAAACAAAAAGTTTATATAAATTTCATGTAATTAAGTTGAAAATGTGGTTAAATTTAGAATATTTTCATAGAAGCATGCTGATGGTTAATTTAGAGTTCAGTGGTTGAATCTATAAATAGAGCGGGGTAAATATTGTTTACTCGTTTTTTTTTTTTTAAATTGTAGAATTTGACAATTTGTGATAAAAAAAAAACCCCTGAAGAAGACACTTATTTGCAGTTACAGAGCATCGCCATTGGGAAGCGGACAAACATGCCACCCAAAAGTTTCGGCCGAAATCCCGTTTGCCTCTCCATACTCTGGCTCACACGTGTCACGAATCTGAGCGTTCTCCCCTTCCCATTCACGGTTACCACCACTACGTGTCCCACAACTCCGCTTTTTCTCACAACGTCTGAAAAACCGCATGCTTCCTCATTGAAGATCCCCAAAAAAAAAAAGCTTTTTCCTCCCTTTCCACGAATGATTGCTCTGTTTGTCTCTTTGCAATTCCGTTGATTGATCAACCAGGCTAACGCCGGTGGTTTTTGGTGCGGCGGCGATGGCGGGAAACGAGTGGATCAATGGGTACCTGGAAGCCATACTGGACAGCGGCGCCGGCGGTTCCATCGAGGACAAGCCGACGACGGCGGATCTCAGAGACAGCGGCCATTTCAACCCCACCAAGTATTTCGTCGAGGAGGTCGTCACCGGCGTCGATGAGACCGACCTCCACCGGACGTGGATCAAGGTCGTCGCCACTCGCAACACTCGCGAGCGGAGCTCCAGGCTCGAGAACATGTGCTGGCGCATTTGGCACCTTACTCGCAAAAAGAAGCAGGTACGAAAGAAAAGAAAAGAAAAAAGTCTCCAAAAACTCTGCGACGACGACGGATAATCGTCGCAAAATATCTCAAACTATTCTGCGACGAAGTTATATTCGTCGTCGTAGAACTTTCACTAACATTCTGCGACGATGGACGACTATCGTTGCAAAAAGTCGAGAGACAACCGTTATAAAATATTTTCAAATCATCTACCAATGAATCATTTCATCGTGGGAAAACGAAAAAGTAAAGTTTGTCGCAAAATGTGCAGTTTTTTTTTCTTCGATGAATTTCTCATCGTCGCAATAGAATTCGTCGCAAAAAGTGAAATTTCTTGCATTACTAGTAATCTTAATTAATGCTTGGTACTGTTACTGTATGATCTAATCTTACGTGCAATCTGTTCGACGTGATCCGATGCGATGGCGAGCAGCTGGAGTGGGAAGACCTGCAGAGGTCGGCGAAGCGGAGAATGGAGCGGGAGCAGGGGCGAAAGGACGCCACTGAAGACTTGTCGGAGGACTTATCGGAAGGAGAGAAAGGAGACGGCGTCGGGGAACTAACACACAGTGGCGAAACGCCAAAGAAACGTTTCCAACGAAACTCCTCCAACTTGGAAGTCTGGTCGGACGACAAGAAGGAAAAGAAGCTCTACATTGTTCTCATCAGGTAAAATTCACTTTCCTTCTTGCAGTGTAAAACTCTGTTGTTATGGTTCCTATGGTAGTGGTGAAACACAATATTACGAATTTGACCATTATACGAATTTCGATTCGAAGCGTTTAACCGGGGTCTCGTTTTATACGACTTGTTTGATGACCAGTTTACACGGTCTAGTTCGCGGAGAAAACATGGAGCTTGGTCGAGATTCCGACACGGGAGGACAGGTAAATGAAATGAACCTCCATTAATTTGCTCCTCCAAAAATTCATTACGTAGTTATGTTGCTTTACACATTGACTATCTCCTCTCTCAGGTCAAATACGTGGTCGAACTAGCACGAGCACTCGCCAAGATGCCTGGAGTGTACAGAGTGGATCTCTTCACCCGCCAGGTTCTGTGCCCCGATGTCGATTGGAGCTATGGCGAACCGACGGAGATGCTGTCTTCGGGCGCTGAAGATGGCGACGGAAATGAGATGGGGGAGAGCAGTGGCGCCTACATAGTGAGAATCCCCTTCGGTCCTCGAGACAAGTATCTTCGCAAAGAGCTGCTCTGGCCCTACATTCAGGAATTCGTGGATGGAGCTCTGGTGCACATTCTGAACATGTCGAAAGTGTTGGGTGAGCAGATTGGTGAAGGCAAGCCAATCTGGCCGTATGTGATTCATGGACACTATGCCGATGCTGGGGACAGTGCTGCATTGCTGTCTGGCGCGCTGAATGTGCCGATGGTTCTGACTGGACACTCGCTGGGGAGGAACAAGCTGGAGCAACTTCTGAAGCAGGGGCGGCAGTCGAAGGAGGACATCAATTCGACGTATAAGATCATGAGGAGGATCGAAGGGGAGGAGCTCGCGCTCGATGCTGCTGAATTGGTGATCACGAGTACGAAGCAGGAGATCGAGGAGCAGTGGGGGTTGTATGATGGGTTTGATGTGAAGCTTGAGAAGGTGTTACGTGCTCGATCGAGGCGCGGTGTTAATTGCCATGGGAGATACATGCCAAGGATGGTGGTGAGAACTTGTGTCTTTCTGTTTGTTTTTTTACTTGTAGGCATGTACACTGGTTTTTGAGGTTGTAAGTGCTGCACAGGTTATTCCTCCTGGGATGGACTTCAGCAATGTTGTGATTCAAGAGGATACACCTGAAGTTGATGGAGAGCTTACATCGCTTATTGGTGGTACTGAAGGGTCTTCCCCGAAAGCGATTCCAACGATATGGTCTGAAGTGAGTCTCTCGTTGCAGATTTTGGTGACAACATTGCAGTACTACTGCAGGTGTATTTTTCCCCCCCTGTTTTTTGATAAGCTCTTGTTCTTTATTGTCAGGTAATGAGATTCCTGACAAACCCTCACAAGCCGATGATTCTGGCCTTGTCGAGGCCCGATCCTAAGAAGAACATCACAACTCTTTTGAAAGCCTTTGGAGAATGTCGGCCATTGAGAGAGCTTGCGAATCTTGTAAGCACCTTGTCGATCTTAACTTACATACCGGTCTAGTTGATGATGAGATATATGATTCTTACAAGGTAATTTGCTACTTTGTGCAGACATTGATAATGGGGAATAGGGATGACATAGATGAGATGACTGGAGGCAATGCAAATGTTCTTACTACAGTTCTGAAGATGATTGACAAATATGATCTTTATGGTCTAGTGGCTTACCCTAAGCATCACAAACAAGCAGATGTTCCAGAAATTTACAGGCTTGCTGCAAAAACCAAGGTTCATTGCCACAACTTGTTAGGATTTTTTTCTCCCCTTGCAGAGCTGATTAATGTGGGTTTGATTTATGCAGGGTGTTTTCATCAATCCAGCATTGGTTGAGCCTTTTGGTCTCACCTTGATTGAGGTTGGTTTCATTTTCGCCATGTTCAACTTGTCGTTTGAGAGTTCGAATTTCGATTGATGCTTTTCTTTCTTGGGACACTGTAGGCAGCAGCTCATGGGCTTCCAATGGTTGCAACCAAAAATGGAGGACCAGTTGACATCAATCGGGTAAATGAGCTTGAACTTTTTGAACCATCTTTTAAGCATTTCAATTGCTGATCTTTATCATGTATTCCAACTGGCAGGCTTTGAACAACGGTCTGCTCGTCGATCCTCACGACCAATATGCCATTGCTGATGCATTGCTTAAGCTGGTGTCAGAGAAGAACTTGTGGCATGACTGCAGAAGGAATGGTTGGAAGAACATACACCTGTTCTCGTGGCCTGAACATTGTCGTACTTACTTGACCAGGGTAGCTGCTTGTCGGATGAGGCATCCCCAGTGGCAAACCGATACTCCTTTCGAGGAATGCCCCGCAGAGCAGTCATCTCTCAATGATTCCCTGAAGGATGTGCAGGACATGTCCCTGAGGCTCTCGATAGACGGATTCAGTAGCTCAGTGGATTACCTAGCCGCGAGTGGTGAGCGTGACATCCAGGACCAGGTGAAGAATGTTATGAGCAGGATGAAGAAACCAGAATCTACCTCCTCGAATGACAATGAACCTGTCAAGCCCGAGACAGGGTTGAGCAAGTACCCTTTGCTGAGGAAACGACGTAGATTGATCGTGATCGCTCTCGACTGCTACGACAACAAGGGAGAACCTGAGGGGAAGATGGTCAAGATCCTGCAGGACATCATGAAAGCCATCAGGATGGACTCACTCTTTGCAAGAGTATCCGGGATTGCAATATCAACTGCCATGTCACTTTCTGAAACACAAGCATTCCTGAAATCAGCAAAACTCCAGACAGCTGAGTTTGATGCACTGATTTGCAGCAGTGGGAGTGAACTGTATTATCCTGGAGCTTATGCTGAAGGAGATGGAAAGCTTTACCCCGATCCTGACTACGCTACTCACATCGACTATCGTTGGGGCTGTGAAGGCCTCAAGAACACCATATGGAAGCTGATGAATTCGCCTGATCAGAATGGCGGTCCATCGAAAGCTGGATCGTCTAGTCCCATCGAGAAAGATGACAAATTGAACAATACCCATTGCATTACATACTTGATCAAGGATCCTAGTCGGGTAAGGATTACTCGATCCTACGTGAAAAGTTGTCACGAGTTTAATTCAAAACTCGTGACAGCTCTGTTTGATATTTTACTCAATACTGAATGTTCATTTTTCCATGGTGTGTACAGGTGATGAAAGTGCAGGACTTGAGGCAGAAGCTCAGGATGCGAGGCCTTCGTTGCCATCCGATGTACTGCAGGGCCTCGACGCGAATGCAGATCATTCCTCTTCTCGCTTCGCGAGCACAGGCGCTCAGGTACCTCTTCGTTCGATGGAGATTGAACGTCGGGAACATGTTTGTGATATTGGGAGAAACCGGAGACACGGATTACCAGGAAATGATATCTGGAGCTCACAAGACCATAGTGATGAAGAATGTGGTGAAGAAAGGCTCTGAAGAACTGATGAGATCGGAGATCAGAGATGATATGGTGCCAAAGGACAGTCCATTGGTTGCCTTCATCAATGGGGAAGCAACGCCAGATGAAATTGCTAGTGCCCTGAAGCAGGTCTCTAAGACTTCTGCTGGAATGTGAAATCTTCTAGATATAGATTTTGGAGATGGTGTGTATTATACAATATGGTTGTTAATATGATTTATTTATTGGTTTGTGAGATATTTATAAACAGCATATTGAGCTTGGGTATCAGGGCAAGAAGTGCATTTTAATCTTCATAAGTCATCAAGTAAATAGGCATGAAGTCTAACTTGACAATTGTTACATAAAATAGGCAAAGTAAGGATTGTATTTTATCATTCACAATCTTATAGATAACTACAAAGTTCTTCTTCATATATATACCATCTTTTTTATATCGAGACTCGTCCTATTACGGGATAGCAACGAATGCCCTTACTTTAACGACTTTTGGTTCTTGTTATACCAGTATGCATTGGGTTAGTAAGTTGTGTTGATTGATTAGCGCACGATAGAAGTATCAAGTATTCAACTCAACTCATACTTGTTGAAGGTGGCACAACTATAAAATAGACTGGGAAAGAGTACTTCAATAAATAATAAGTCAATTTCGTACAGTGACTTCAAAATTTAAAATGGAGTAATTTTTATTTATTTATTTATGAAATAACATCACATATGACTCAAATCCTTCATCCCAATCCATGTTTTGTGGAAATGAGCTATAGAAACAATGAATTCATAGATGCACATATTCTTATGCTCCATTGTCATGTTTCTGTGTTTCCATTGGGGATGTGACAAAATAGAGAACATAAACAACAAAAACTTGTTTTGTTCACAATCTAAATAAATAAATAACATAAAATCATTTAGTTACTTATTTTTATCAACGTCATTTATATTCACAATTGTTTATGTCACTAAGATAAAATCTTAACAAGATAATGACTCGATCCAATCAATACATGATATCAGTGTTGAGAATAAGTCAAAAGTAGAAAATAATAAGAGGAATGGTGTGGCTGAATGAAGTATGAGAAAACTAAGAGGGAAAATTTTATGTTAATAATATTTGAAAAAGGATTTCGTGGATTGAGAGGAGAAAACTAAGAGGAAATATTTTTTATGTTAATAATATTTGAAAAAGGATTTCGTGGATTGAGAGGGGAAAACATGTATGAAGTATGGTTTAGTAAAATTTTATCAGATTCTTTTGAATGAAATTATTCCCTACAACTGTTAGGATTCATCAGATTTTTTTTTTTTTTTTTTTTTGAAAATTGTAAGGAAACTACTTAAAGTGGTTTCATTGATTTCTACTAATTTTTACCTTTTTTCAACTCGTATTGTCACAACTCACAACAACATTTTATGTCTCTGTTTTCACTTGTGAAAATAGAATACATTAATGAAAATGATACTAAATAGAGTTTAATTATATACATAATTTTAATACACTGAAATAAATTATTTCTCAACTTAAAGCTTCCAAACCACCCTAAGGCCAAGGCCCAAGAGGAATTCAAGAGAACTACTGCCAATTGTTTAGCCCACTACCTACTAGGGGCGAAACAATTTGCCTGGGCCCAGAGTCCACTGTTTATTTTTTTAATCCACTAACTGATGAAAGATTGGGCTTTTTGGGCCATTCTTAATTAATTACTACAAGTTGGTAAGTAGATTCTGACAAAAAACTAAAGAAGAGGGGCTAAAACGAAATAAGACATGTGCCGTAAGCAATCTTACATCTTTACCCTAGCTAGCAAATAGCTGCACTGCAAAAGCCATCTTCCTAAAATCGTTGCGCAGTGGAACAGGACGAAAAGAAACGATTTCACGCTAACAGTACTTCACCACTTTGCTGGGAACCTAGCGGCAGCGAGCTTTAAGCGAGAAGAATAATGGTAGATCACTCGACGGCCGGTGACCGGAAGGCCCCCAAGCTTCCGGTGGCCGGCAAGCGAAACATACTCATCACCAGCGCCTTGCCATATGTCAACAACGTGCCTCACCTCGGCAATATTATCGGATGTAATTCGCTTTTCTCCTCAATCTTTCTCAACTACTCGAATCTCCTTTTCATTGTGAACGGATTGGTCTGTTTTTTCGTTTCCCTTTGCTGATTCCGATTTTCAGAGTGAGGAGTTAGCACATGCAATGAATTCTCGCTACTTTTGAGATGATTTTAGTTCTGTGCGGGGAGAGTTGATTCTCCGTTTGGTTTGCCTGAAAATGTCATTTCTCTTCCTCGTAGGTGTGTTGAGTGCTGATGTGTTCGCTCGCTACTGCCGGCTGCGAGGCTACAATGCTATATACATATGCGGAACTGACGAGTATGGAACTGCCACGGAAACCAAGGCCCTGGAGGAGAAATGCTCCCCGAAGGAGATTTGTGACAAGTATGAATTCTCGTTTCCACTTGGGCGACATGCTTCAGAGCTCATCCGTTTGCTTCGGTTGAGTTCTTACCTTAGTTTGTGTGCTGGTTTTTTGCTCGTTCAGGTACCATGCCATTCATCGGGAGGTTTACAAGTGGTTCAATATAAGTTTCGATGAATTTGGGCGAACCTCGGCCCCACAGCAGACTGAAGTCTGCCAGTCCATTTTCAAGAAACTGTTGGAGAACAACTGGCTTTCGGAGAACACAATGCAGCAGGTAGATAATGAGTATCAAGTTTCGTGTTTTGGCTGAAAACTGAATTCATGTTATTGCCGAGTGCAGAGTGCTGAGTATTTAACTGTTATATTGAGTTCAGCTGTACTGTGATACGTGTACGAAGTTCTTGGCCGATCGCCTTGTTGAGGGTACGTGTCCAACCGCGGGTTGTAATTATGACTCTGCAAGAGGAGATCAATGTGAAAAGTGCGGTAAACTTCTGAATCCGACTGAACTGAAGGATCCTAAGTGCAAGGTAAGAAAGAAGTGTGCTATTTCTTGTTTTAATGATTATCTTAAACGAATACTAGCATGCTAGAGTCAGTGTCAGCTGCAGTATTGTCGTTCATGAATTTTTGGATATAATGGGGCATGAGTTTTGTTTGAGAGTTTGCCTGTAGAAGTGTTTCCTTTAGAATTTGTGTGAGTGAAGGACTATTATTTTGGTTGGTTGAGTGAAGGATTTGACTTGACTTTATTGGCTGGGATGTAATAAAGAACTGTTGCTCTGCTCATTATACTGTTATGTTCCTAATTTTTGTATTATCTTCTGATTTGAAAATAGTATCTATCCATAGATGTCTTCCATCTGCATCTTAATTTTCTAAAACTTTCAATTTCGATGTTAGCGATTCACCCTTTGTGTATTCCATGCTTTCTCATTATTGAACAGGTCTGTCGTAACACTCCACGTATTCGCGACACGGATCACTTGTTTCTTGAGCTTCCCTTGCTGAAGGATCAACTCGTGGAATATATTGAGCACATGTCTGTAGCTGGTTCTTGGAGCCAGAATGCCATCCAAGCTACAAATGCGTGGCTTAGAGAAGGGCTGAAATCACGTTGTATTACCAGGGATTTGAAGTGGGGGGTTCCTGTTCCCCATGACAAGTATAAGGACAAGGTCGGGAGCCATGTTTCTAAATTCTTTTGGCTTTTTTATTTTATATCAAGATGCATTTTTGCTCGTAGTCTAATCTAGTTAGATAAATAAAATTTATACTTTGACGTTTGTCGAAGCACATGTGATACATCTACTCTTCATGAGTTTGACAACCTTGTGTCATACTTCCGCCAGGTTTTCTATGTCTGGTTTGATGCTCCTATTGGATATGTTTCAATCACAGCTAGCTACACTCCTGACTGGGAAAAGTGGTGGAAGAATCCTGAAAATGTTGAGCTGTATCAGTTCATGGGAAAGGATAATGTCCCATTCCACACGGTATGTCCACCTTTTCTTACTATTTCATCTCTAACTCTAAACAACAGTATGTAAAATCTAGGTTAGAAAATACATGTATTTCACTTTTTTTTTCTTCCTGATGCTACTTAAGATTATAGGGAATAAGTGACAATTAGTGAAAACCCTGGCCTGGCTGGATCTTGGTTTCATGTAAGGCATTAATACCTTAACAGGATTGTTTTCAAAAAGGAAACTAAAAAATAATTTTGGTTGTAAATTGCCTTGTGTTAGAAAAGCAGACAAGTAGGCTTTGATGATTTGCATATCGCTATGTGATCTTGAGCATCACTGCTCCGAGAAAAGCTTGCACTGGTCATTCTCACTGTTTTCTTCTATTGATGGAATGAAGTTGTCCTCCTGACGATATTCTCTTATTTCAGGTTATGTTTCCTTCTTCACTTATTGGAACTGGTGAAAGTTGGACCATGATGAAGACTATAAGTGTAACAGAATACTTAAACTATGAAGCAGGTTGGTAAATAAACAGTGGAAATAATTTTGTCATGGCCTTCAGTTCTGATCACCGTTAACATTTCTTCACAGTTGTGTGAGACCTCACTGAATGATTGGTGGATGGTTTGTACAGGGAAGTTCTCGAAAAGTAAAGGGATAGGCGTTTTTGGTACTGATGCAAAAGATACTAACATCCCTGTTGAAGTATATCGATATTATCTACTGACTAACCGTCCAGAGGTAACTTCAGTTTCATTTTCCTATTCTTTGACTATTTTGTTATTAAATATTATAAATGTTGACCCAGAAGTTCATGTAAATAGGTATCTGATACACTATTTACATGGGCCGATTTGCAAGCCAAACTTAACAGCGAGTTGCTCAACAATTTGGGGAACTTCGTCAATAGAGTTTTGAGTTTTATTGCTAAACCTGAAGGTAAATTAGCTGCTCGGAAGTTCTTAGCTTTCGCTAGACTAGATTGGGTGTTGTTCGCATATTATCTTGCAATATCACATTAAAATTGGTGGACTAGGCTGCATTCTTCTGTTCCTACATTGCTTAAATTTGGTCTTGGTTGTTACTGCGTTACCGCTTCTTTCTATTGATTGGGAGTGATCACCAGTTCTGGAACTGGTGGTGATTTTCCTTCCCTTGCTATGCCCTGTTTCCGGAAGCTCCTTTATTTTCCTTCAGCATTCTAACATTCCTGCTTTGAGTATCTGTAAGGTCTGATCAGATGTCATTGACTGTACAATATTCATTTTTGGATTTCCGTTTCTTATGAAAAACTCTAAATTTGTTTTCTAGTTTTCCTATTGCCATAACAAAAAACCGCTGAGCCTTGTTCTGATGGGTTGTAGAAACTGGAAACTGAAATTAACCAAACCTGTAGCTTGGTGATCACCGCAGCAACACAAGTTGCCCATGCCTTATTTTTTCGATTTGCTGCTAGTTCAAGTACACCACCATTTTGTGTTATCTTATCAGTTGTGCTTATGGTTTATTTATGGCACAACAAATATCAGCGTGTTGTCCTCTTGACTATACACCATTGCCAATGTCTTGTGTCCAGGTGCTGGTTATGGCTCCATTATCCCAGATGCTCCAGGTGCAGAGTCTCATTCATTGACAAAGAAACTTGCTGAAGAAGTTGGCAGACATGTGGACCAATATCTAGAAGCCATGGAAAAGGTGTGAATTTTTGCCAACTATTCCTACACCAAACAATAATGATTTCTAACATTCTAATATTATAGGTCAAACTGAAACAAGGACTTAAAATTGCCATGAGTATTTCAAGTGAAGGGAACGCTTATCTTCAAGTAAGTTTGAACGTTTAGTATCTCGATAGTAACTAGTAAGTGATGTATCTCCTTATTGTCTTGGTGAGGTTGGATATGTTGTTCTAATACCCAATACATGTCAATGCAGGAAAGTCAATTCTGGAAGCTTTACAAGGAAGACCAACCTTCCTGTTCCATAGTGATGCGGACCTCTGTTGGACTGGTATATCTTCTTGCATGTTTGTTAGAACCCTATATGCCATCCTTCTCTGCTGAGGTAAATCAACTGTCTTGAAACCGGTTGTTTAAGTTATTAAATGACTTGAATTTCGATAATATAACTTATTATCTGACTGCCTTGTTGATATTTTCTTCATGCATCTTTGTACAAGGTTTTCAAGCAGCTGAATTTGCCTTTCGATCAAGCTTCACTTTCTGATGAAAAAGGAGATATTGATAAGGCAAAAAGACCGTGGGACATAATTCCTCCTGGTCATAAAATTGGGACTCCAGCGCCTTTGTTTAAGGAACTGGTAAGAACTTTATTGCTTTGGACTTCCAGGCTTATTTATGTTTGTGAGCAAAGGGTATCTTTGTCAGTGTCATTATGAGGTTGTTAGTGTCAAATAAGGATTGGTGGTCGACTTGTTTGCTTATCTTTTGTTTCAAATCATTTGCAGTTGACATTCATTTTCATTTTTTTTGAAATTTACCATACTCTTCATTTTGCCTTTCCAGAAAGATGAAGATGTGGAGTTCTACAGTGCCAAATTTGCTGGCAGTCAGGCTGACAGGTTAGAGAGGGCAGAGGCTGAAGCTGTAAAAGTTGCTGCACAACTTAAGAAGTCAAACATTTCAGGTTAGCTGCAATTGTTGCACATGCAGGAGGGATTCAAATGAATAGGTGGCTTATACATCTCTTTTATTTGCTACAGATGGTGGGAAAAAGCAACAAAGTAAAAAGCCTGCTGGAGATGGCAAGTCAAAGGGAACAGTTGAGCCAGAAATCACCGTCACAAGGCTGGATATTCGTGTCGGCTTGATAAAGAAAGCGCAGAAGCATCCTGATGCCGACTCCCTCTATGTGGAAGAAATTGACGTGGGTGAAGCAGAACCTAGAATAGTTGTCAGTGGACTTGTAAAGTACATACCTCTGGAAGATATGCAGGTACTTAAAGATCGTAATGACTACTCCCCGTGTCTGAGTTGCATGAAAAATATTTGATTTGCTATCTTACCTTTTTGACAGAATCGTAAGGTGTGCGTCCTCTGCAACCTAAAGCCAGCCAGCATGAGGGGGATCAGATCACACGCAATGGTTCTCGCTGCTTCCAACAGCGACCACACCAAGGTCAGTGCGGTCTTTTGCATCTTTCTCATAGCGCGTCTGATGCAAGCCCGTAATAACTATCACAGAAGATGTGGTTAGACTGAATTGCGAATTTTACAATGCAGGTTGAATTGGTTGAACCACCCGAATCTGCTACCGTGGGCGAGCGAGTTACGTTTGCAGGTTTCGAGGGGGAGCCCGACGTCTCACTGAACGCAAAGAAGAAGATATGGGAGACCCTTAAAGTGGACTTTCAAACCAACTCTGAATTGGTAGCTTGCTTCAAAGGCATCCCGTTCTCGACATCCGCTGGGGTGTGCAAGGTTGCATCCATTAGTAATGGAACCATAGAGTAGAAAGTGCAGAGTTGACATAACTCGGCACTGATTGCGATATTGTAATGAAGGAATTGGTAGTCTCTCCAGTTTTGCCCTCTATTGCGCCCTTTCCTTGAAAGAGAATAGCAGTTGGAAAGGGAAGTTTTTGTGTTCTTGTAGTTTGCATTTTGCAATGATTGCCTCCTGAGAAATTGGAATTGTATGAGAATGCACCTTTCTTTCTTTCCATTTGGGTACGGGTAGATTGAGTTGCACACTTGCAATGAGGGAGAGACCCTAGAGAGAGCTTGAGAGTGATTTTTCCTCGTTTTCTAACTCAAGATTAGGGTTGCGGTTCTGTTAAGTGAACCGAAAAAACATTTTGAAATTGAACATAGAATTAAATAATTGACAAAAATTGAAACCAAAACCATTAAGGCTTACCATTTTTGGTTGATAGAAAATTGATAGTCTAAAGTGAAATTATTTGAATAATTTGATTATACAAAAGAACCAAAAAAAATCTAAAGTGAATTTATTAGGGTTATTATAGTCATTTGTGTCGCCCAAACTAAAGTTTGGCCTTGGTTAACGGTTTTTGGATGAAAATTTTTACAAAAGGGCATGTTTGATCATTTTTACAAAGTACAAGGGCATGTTTGATGTAAAAAATAGTAGAGGGGCATCTTTGATAAAACGTCATAGTAGAGGGGCATATTATACCTATAACCCTAGAATAAACTGAAAAATCGAAGATATATTGTTGAAGGGAAGTAATCATTCGTTTGTTTTGTTTGTATAATAAGATAAATGAAAGAAAAATATATTTTTAGTAAAAGAAATTTAATAGGGTAACGGTAGTCATGTATTTTCAAAACAGGTTTTCGAAGAAACTTTAAATTAGATCTTCTACTTTAACGTTCTAGAAAGCACTTTACAAGTTTTTCAAAAACCGAACTTACATATGTATTTGGCTTAGCTTAAATTGCTTAACCTTTTGTAACAGGAAAAAAAAAAAACACTTCTATCCAAATCGCGCAATCAATTTCATAAAGAAATTCACCTTCATCTCATGATAATTATTACTTCATTTCATCCAGCGATTTATTTTCTTCAAATTCCAAAATTGTTCACCCAACAATCCTCTTTATTGTGCATAAGAATCTTCAAAATATGATTTCTATCTAGTTTGATAATAATTTTGATAATCTTGTTTCCCTTTCCAACGACTCCCTCCAGTAAGCATATATGATAACCGTGTTAGCTGGAGCCAATCTCGAATTTATTGGATCATCAACATCTCACAGAATTCATACAATTAGAGTCCCCAATTTGAAGCTAACAATTTCATTTCATTATGATAATGGAGACAAATTTATTGATAAAAAAAATATTTGGTGAATTTCATTGTTTGTAATTTATGCGTTAACTCGATGTCCAATCGACAATTCCACAATTCACCAGCCCAATTCGCGACCTAATTCAATCCATCCATTAAATTCTAACTAGCGTGGGCCCCGGCCATTTGGCCGGACGAAGATGAGGTATGAAATTTGATAATGTAATGGGGTGTATAGCTTATTGTTGTATAGTTTTTTTTTTTGGGAAAAATAGTGAATTTTAGTAGAAAAGAGACATGAATGATGCAACGAATCAAAAATCAGCCTTATGAACCAAAATCAAGTACCTGTTACCTTGTGAAACAATATTGTTTCTGGTAATATGATGAGGTGGAGTAAGTTTCATAGAAACCGAATTCCAGAAAATCGAATAAAAAATCGCCTATCCCGCCGGTTTTCAGGAAATGAGCATCTCACAATCGTTGCTAGCTTTTACTCGGCCCGTTGGCCGATTAATTTGCTTTATAAAACTTTCATCTTCTCATCATTGTGCTTTCTGGTTTTTTGCCAAGCCATGATAAAATCTAAAGAAATCAAGAATGAACAGCACGATTTGGGATAGGAACCAACTTTTCTGTATCCCTAGAAAATGGTGGTAAACACGGACTCACCTGCCAAACTGGTTTGGATTGAGATTTTTATAGGGTATCAGGGAACCATGTGATTATAAATTAGACTTGATCAAAATGGGCAAAAATTTGAAATTCAGCCTGTTTGACGGACTCATGCCAAACTCTAATTATTCTTTACTTTTAAACTTTATATTTGAAAATAAAAAATAATGAAAGAAAAGAGATTACTGCAATTCACCATTTGCACATCACTGATTCGGGAATAAAACTATAGAATTTCGAAAGGAAACTGAAAATGTTTAGGATCATTTTAATGTTAAAAATAACCAAATAGATCTTTCTGTTTAATTTTTAACTAACAAATACCAAACCATTCCCTATAATATACACTATAATTTAATCATTATGATATCAAATAATTACATAATATATATTTGAAATGATAAAAATTGGACTAATTGAGTTGGTCGAGGTTGTACCATTGAATAACTTTAAAATACATTATATTTTAGCCACTAAGATATAAAATAATAGCATAATATATATTATGCTAGAGAAAATAGTTTGTTTTAGAATGACAAACCCATGATGTTCATTTGTTTTACTTGATGGGCAAATCCCGTGTAGGTCAGACTCATTCAACTCTTTTATTTTATGATTAGCGGTTAGCCCATTAGAATCCAGGCATTAGTTTATTGTTATTTTTTTCATTTTAGCAATAAAAAGGAGTATTGTTTTTTCCTTTTCATATATATATTTTACCACTACGGAGAAATAAAAGGACTTAAAGAAAAAATTGACACTCCTGGACCCGTTTAAATCCGCATGTGTACGGTAAGTTGGCCCGTTCCACAGAGGAAAAAGAAAAAAATTGACACTCCCTACTCTACTCTTCCTACAAACGCTCATGGAGCAGGGAATTTGAAATGGGGGAAGAGTTTTTTCCTCTCTGCAATTATATGTTTTTAATTTAAAAAGATACAACAAATGTACTTAGTGTGATTGGTTATGATCCTTGTTTTTCTTTAAAATGGTCATGGTTCGAATCCTAGTAAGTGTCTTTTTAATAATGAATAAAAAAGAGTAATTGTGAAGACCAAAATGTCCTTCCTACTTTCACTCTGGATGCAGGAAATTTGAAACGGGGCTTCAAGTTTTCTCATTTGGCTTTTATTTATTGTGTAGATTAATTCATTTTATTTTAATCAAAACCTAATAAATTGGCTGATTAATGGTGAAAAACAATTTAGTACGGGGCATTAAATCCTCAGATTTGATTTGTATTATTGTATACTCTCAGTGGGCCAATTTTAATTGGGCCGTGTATTGCAGAGGGAATATTGGGCTTTTCCCCAAAATGTTGTCTCTTTCTTCTCTTGTTGATGGTAATCCAGCTGGTAGGACAGGTCAGCAAAAAGTATTACCTGTCCATCACGTGGCAAATAAACGTGTACACCAAGGAATAGCTACGCGGCAACCGACTTTGAACCTCCTTTTGCATCTATAAATAGCCGACATGACATCGTCTTCGCACTATTGTTACCGTTGCCGGAAATAAGCATTCATGGGATCTCCAAGAATGAGGATCCTTGAAAATTAGGTAAGGCTTGGTTCTTCCATTTAGGGTTTCCATGAGGCTTGATATCGGAGAAGCATCTCATCGCCTCTATTCCTTGTTTATTCTCGTCGACTTCAAGAATCATCGCCATGTTCAAGTAAAGGGGAAAAGATCTCTTCCCTTCTTGTTTTCTCTTCGTCCCCGTTGCCCTAAATGTCGATGAAATTTGTAGTATGGCAGATATTGTTCTTTTTTGTCTGAACCGGTTGTCGTTAGTTGCCCTAAGTAGTTGTTGGTATCCCCAATGATTCTACGATTGTGGTAAACAGCAGAATTTCTGTGCGGAGTTGTTACTGTGATGGGAGACTATAAATGATAATAAGGCTTGGAGGGTCAAATTTTCTGATGCCATGGCTTCTCCAATTGAGGTATGTTTTCGGATTTACCACTTTCCATTGGTTGATCATGAGAGGGAGTGAATTGAAGTGATTTTCGAGACCACTGTGTCCGTTGAAAAAATTGTTGGGATAAGCCAATTAGTGAATGGAATGGCATGATTGATAGTTTTCACTGTTGCTTCATTTACGCAAAGGTTTATAGCTACTGTCTGGACTATGGGAGCCTGTTGGGGTTCTTTTGAATTGTTGCTTCTGTTGAGATATGAAGTGAGTCAAAATTGACAATAAAAATTGAGCCCTTTTATAATCAACTAAAAGGAAAAACGTATTTCCAATTCTATCTTCTGCTTCTAGTCTCTAGTCCGATGCATGATTTATGGCGTATTGGCCCCTGTTGTTCTGTATAGCTGATGGGGTCCTAGAATGGAACTAAGACTAGTCTAGCTACCCTTCTGCTCTATTTGATCATTTTGGTGGAAATTCCGTGGTATATGCTAATGGGGTCCTAGATGGGAACTGAGACTAGTCTAGTTGCCCTTCTGCTCTATTGGTTAATTTTGGTGGAAATTCCGTGGTATATGCTAATGGGGTCTTAGAAGGGAACTAAGACTAGTATAGTTGCCCTTCTTCTCGATTAACACATTTTGGTGGAAATTCCATGGTATATGTTGATGGGGTCCTAGAAGGGAACTAAGACTAGTCTAGTTGCCTTTCTGCTCCACAGTTTCAGTCCCTAAAAGGAAATTGAGTCTAGTCCGATCATTTTACACCGAATGGGAAAAACCATCTGGTTGTATGTCAGTGAGATAATATGAATGGCAACTCACTTGCTCTTGATACCTATTTTTCCCAATTGTCAGTTGGTGCCTGTTGGTTTGGTTAATGATATGATGTTAAATAGTTGGATCCTATAAGGGATATTTCTGGATTGCCCTTTTACCCACTTGAACATATCAGTTCACATTCTATGATGGAGTCCGAGAAGGGAACATGATTAGACTTGTTGCCCTTTTGCTCCACCTGACACATCATTGTATTTTGTAATGTTCATTCGACTCCGGGTCCTTGAAGAGAATTGTGCCTAGTCCCGCTTGCTCATCTTCCTAAACTATCAGAACTCTTAGAACTAGATGCTTGTGGTGCCAAAATTGTTTCAGATATGAACTATGCTGCGAGTGAACATCCTTTTGGGATGTGGGGCGCTGGCTTGACTTTCAGAGGGAAATTTTGATGCTGGTCTTGTATAGGGTATCGCTGGATTGCCTTTTGGAATGGGGGATCAACCTTGAAACTTCTGTTTCATTTTAATACTTTGCATTATCCTGTTGGGTTAGTTTTTGGAAATGATCATTGTACTGCGATTATCTTGATTCATTTGGAAGAGTTGGAAGAGAATATGGATTTGTTGCCATTTTTAGTATCTGGAAC